TCTTCCCACCCTTGCTGTTCTTCAGCTTCCAAGTAGCTGAGAATGCCCACCCATGGTGAACAGCACAGACTCTTTCTCGCACGTCGTCAAATGGCGGCGAACATAGTCATTACGTCATGATATCCCGTGATGCTTTGCGATTAAAGCTTTGTACACGTGCGCCACCTAGCGATAAGCATAGGAAATACTGCATAAGGTAAACGATATACCCAAATAGTTCGTGTGAGGTATAATTGGGATTATCCTTCATGGTAAGTACAATTTGCCTAATCCTCAATTTTTGCTGTCAAGGTTGACAAATTGGTGTAACAATTTTTCTGTCAAATGCCACAAAGGAAAACAGGGCCCTGGTGTTTGTCACATTTTCAGGAAATAGTGTTTTAGAAACTGAAGAAAATTTTGTAAATTTAATGGTTTCTTCCAAACCCTACAATATCAAAGATGTCCTCACCAAAACCTTGTATATTGTACCTTGCAGGTGTGAGCTGATCTTGTTGAGTGGGTTCCATGTGGATAAGAAGGACCTGAAGCGCGGTTTGTGTCCCGGAGTGAAACAGCACGAGTTTTACCCAGGGTTCCCTACTCTCAGGCACATACCTCACAAAGTACGTCCTCCATTGCCCTGTGTATTACATAGTGTATTTGGAGTTTGTCAGGGTTCAACAGTTAGTAGTTAATGCTTATTATGTCCCAAAATGTCAGTTATATTGTCAATAATATCCAAAGGTTGTAAAGATTACCAGTCAAGGCCATAAGTCCATAGTTAGTTCATATAAGTACATATAATGTAGACTGTAACATAGTACTAGTAGCTCAACATCTCAGTATGTCCAATACATGTATACAAATTTGTTGTTGTAAAATGCATTGTGTTTTAAGTTATTTGGTACAGAAAACAAACTCAGATCAGAAAGTATGACTTCCATGTTCTGGAAAGTGAAGACCTCACCTCATTCTGACTGTGAAGCCGTTTATTAAAATCCCACTAAGCACCTTTACTTCTGTACTGTATATTGAAACTAAAGCCATATACAGAAGAGTTAATGCACTCTGAATGTGTTATACTGTTAACTACAGGCAAGTTTGAAGAAGAAAGGTGTGAGGGTGTTCCAGATGGCCAGTAAGAATGAGAGCCAGTTCTTGGTCATACAGGATGACTCAGAACCTGTAAGTATTGCATCTTACGGTGTTGGATAATTAAATACTCCTCCTACTTGTACAGAAATCTCACTTGTTTTCTCTTTTTCAATCCCTGTTCTCTTCTTTCTTTTTTTAGAGTTAAGGTTTGTTTTTATTCATGATCATAGTTGTAAGGTGTACAATAGATGAAAAGAAAACTTTTCTGGTGTTAACAAACATAGGCCAGAATAGAATTTAGTAAAAGTCAAAAAGAGGTAGAAAGGGATATACATGTATAGAATTATTTTTTTCACCATATTGTAACAAGTAACAAATATTGTTTTTTTTTATCTGTCCAGGACATTGAGAAAATTGCCAATGAGTACCTAGGAAAGTCTATCTATGTAGACTGGCCCCACCTCCAAGAGGCAAGGGTCATCAAGGTTTCTGATGACCAAGTGCAGTAAGTGAATTAATCTGCAATCCCAATATCAAATGAGCCATTTTACACACTCCTCTGTAGCAATGATATGTAATCTACTGTGGCAGAGTTTGGATTTTGAATGTGTAAAATTCATTCATCTTGGTTTTGTCAGAAATATTTGTACACATGCATATGATATTATACCTGCACACTCCCTATTTGGGTATATCATTTACCTTATGCAGTATTTCCTATGCTTATCGCTAGGTGGCGCACGTGTACAAAACTCTAATCGCAAAGCATCACGGGATATCATGACGTAATGACATTGTTCGCCGCCATTTTCCTTGTGCGTTCGCAGAGGGGTGCACGTTCGTTTCCCTACTCCTTATTTTTTCGGATTTTCTTTCGGCGTTAGGCCCGAAAAGAAGGATAAAACGAAGTCTTCTGCCCACGAGGGCGATTCAGGTAGCCTTTCGGAGGACCAGACGGGTCGTAACGGCAAGAGAAGCGGCCTGTTTCCCAACGCTAGTCAGGAAAAATTCCTGGCCGTGGAAAAGACAGGCGTGTCTGCACATGCCTCCGGACAGGAGGAAGAGGAGTCGGGTGAACGAAAAGTCCCCGCTCCTACAGCTGGAGGTTCGGAGGAAAAAGAGAAGAACTCCAACCTCTTTCCGCCGCTTGGGAGCGAAATGCCCCTTCGGCGTTGGCACCGGGAACATCCGCCGCTTGGGAGCGAAATGCCCCTTCGGCGTTGGCACCGGGAACATCGGTCAAGGAAGGAGACGGCGCGGAGCTGCCGCCGCCCCGGCCTAAATTTCCTCCGGGCTCGGAGGAGTTGGGCTCCCCGACCGTGCCGAAGCTTGGTGGGGAAAAGTCTCCTCCACCCCCACCTCCATCAGAAACACCCTTCCCGCCTGGATTCGACGCTGCCTCTTTTCTTCAGTGGATCAGTTCCAGCTTGGGACTTCCTCAGGCATCCAGTTCATCCCGTCAACCTCGGGACGTTGACGGGGCGGTAGCGTCGACCAGCCGAGCCGGTGTAGTCGGTTCCGGGCGAGAGCATCCAGGTTCTGAAGTGGAAGAGTGTTCGGAGGAGGGAAAAATCACCTTTTCTGACTCTGACGAAGGTAACTCCTTGTCGTTTGATAATCCCTACGATAATAACTTCAAATAAGTATTTGGAGGAACCGGTGGGCAAATCGGTCTTGAAAACATGTTTTCATATCTTGCTTCATGTCCTTGCCACACATTTCACGTCTATACTGAGTCATAGTAGAGGAAGCTGATCCCAAAAAACACCAAAGACGATTCTATCGCTTTGCAAACAGCATCCGGTTTAGAGGATGGTCCGAACCCTTAACTGCTGCCAACAACTCTACTAAAAGGTTAGCAGCCATGAGCATCTTATCCTGGCAATCACTAAAATTCTTATCAGTGTTTACGGTATCATGCTTGATCATATTAGCCACTACTGGGTCTAGAATCGGCGCCCGAAGTGCTAATTCAACATTAGGTGGAGTGGGAAAAGTTTTCCTTCCTCTCTTTAAACTCCGAATTTTGTGAGTAAAGTCCTCGCTCAAAAATGTAGCGACCTGCTCGGGAACTTCAGATTCTTTCCCCTTCTTAATTTGGAGACACCTTTTTGGAGAAGGTTAATGCAGCCGATTAGGCTAGACGCACTTTGAGTAAGGCTTATAAGCCAGCCCCTTCGAGCACTTCTAGGGCTAGGGACAGGTTTCAGTCCAACCGTTCAAAGTTTAACTATAGCTACAACAAGTACTCCTCAAACTCAAAGGGTTATATTTTTCGTCCCTCACAACAACAACAACAACAATGCTAGACCATGGTCAAATGCCGGGGGTAAGAAAATCTCGGGGTTTCGTTCAGCGCAGGGCACAAAAGGCCCAAACAAACAGTAGCTCTTCCTCGTCATCAGACTCTGCTCTGTTCTCCGATTCAACACGCAGGGCGAACAGCTTTTTTCATGGAAAACTGGGAGTCCACTCCGGTTCAGTTCGTCCAGCCGGTCACAAATATATCTGGGGAGGACAGAGCAAAGGTTGTTGACGACGAAGTGCACAGTATGTTGGAGAAAGGTGCAGGGGTCCAAATCGAACCCTGCGAGAGCCAATATGTTCTACGATTTTTCTAGTCCCGAAAGCTCGGGGAGGCTGGAGACCGGTTATAAACCTAAAGTCTTTAAACAAGTTGTTCTGAAACGTACTTGCAAGTTCGAAGGGATAAACCTAGTCAAAGAGTTGTGGAAAAAAGGAGATTTTCTAGCAACTATAAATCTAAAGGATGCGTACTTTACCATCCCAATAGCTCAGAGCGATCGAAAATTCCTTCGTTTTTCGTGGAGAGGAGTTCTTTGGGAATTTCAGTGTCTTCCCCTGGGTCTGACGTCGGCGCCGAGGGTATTTACCAAGGTTTTGCGGCCGATTGTGCCCATTCTAAGGAGACAGGGATTACTAGTAGTAGTTTTCCTAGACGACTTACTGATCATTGCAAGGTCGAGGGAACAATGCTTAGAGCACATTGCTATAGCCAGAGAGCTTCTAGAGCAACTCGGTTTGTTCTCAACCTGGAGAAGTCGCAGTTGGTACCGTCTCAGGTAGCGACTTTCCTAGGCCTTGTTCTCGATTCTCGTACTTTGACAATTTACCTAACCGAAGACAAGTTAGACAAGGTAGTGAGTTCTTGCCTATCACTTCTAGAACAGGAGGTGATAGGAATCAGGCAGCTAGCCAGCGTGGTGGGGCTGTTAGAGTCCACCAAGCAAGCCATTCTTCCCAGGCCCTTACATTTCCGGGCTATGCAACAGCTTCTCAATTTCGGCATAAAGAAGCCGGGAGAATTTCGACTCTTCAGTCAGTCTAACCCCAGATGCAGCAAAAGATCTACAGTGGTGGATCGGTCATGTGCGCGAAGTAAAGTCTTTGTTCCGTCAAACCTGACAATTTGCACGGATGCCTCACTGGAGGATGGGGCGCGCATTGTTATGGTCAGGAGACAGGCGGGCGCTGGTCGCAAACAGAAGCGCGCATGCACTGTGACCAACTGACTAGAATTGAAAGCGGCCTCCCTGTCGCTAAGAAGCTTTGTGAGCGCAGATACTCAGCATGTTCTGCTAAGGCTGGACAACGCAACAGCCGTTGCATATGTGAATCACGCGGGGGGAACAAGGTCGCCAGATTTGGCAGCCTTGGCCCTGGAGATGTGGTCGTGGGCCCCAGCTGGAAAGAGGCCTGACGTTGTCTGCAACTCACGTTCCCGGATTGACAAACACCCTAGCGGACAGGTGTTCGCAAGGTTTTTTCTGGACAAGGTAGAGTGGCAACTGAACCGCTCAGTTTTTCCTGTCATTGAACAATTGGACAGGCAATGCATTGACAGTAGATCTGTTTGCGTCTCGTATGAACGCTCAGCTGAAGGAGTATGTCTCTTGGCGCCCAGAACCAGAGGCCATGTCGGTGGATGGCCTAAACATTCACTGAGGCAACCTGGGGCTAGCGCATGCCTTTCCCCGCTTCAGCCTAGTGTTCAAGGTACTGAGGAAAGTCCAGTCAGACGTAGCAATAGTGATTTTGATACCTCCAGTTTGGAAGTCTCAGGCTTGGTACCCCAAGGTGTTGAACATGTTGTTCGAGAGTCCGGTTCTCCTGCCACAGAGCTGGGATCTGCTGTTCCTGCCGCACAACAGGAGACCCCATCCGCTGTTGCCAGATCTGATGCTTGCCGCGTGGCCAAGATCAGGCGACAGTTGCAGGGTCGGGGCCTTTCGGCAGGGGCTTCAGACCTCATCCTCTCGGCTTGGAGAGAAAGCACTTCTAGACAGTATCAGTCAGCATGGGCTCAGTGGGCCAGCTGGTGTGATAGAAGGGAGATTGATCCAGTTTGCGGCTCTATAGAGAGCGTAGTAGAATATCTTGAATGGATGTTCCGACAGAACTACGGCTATACATTGTATGTCAATTGGGGTGGCTCGTTCTGCGATCTCGTCTGTACACTTACCAGTAGACCATTGTAATGTGGGTAGTCACCCTCTAGTGTCCAAACTGATGAGAGGTCTGTTTCACAAACGTCCTCCTTGTCCAAGATATGTTTCAACATGGGACGTCAGTCGGGTCCTAGAGTACCTTCTGCATTGTTGCCAAGCTAATAGTCTTAGTTTGAAACAGCTGTTTCATAAGTTGGTAACACTAGCGGCATTGGTGTCAGCCGACAGAGGTCAGACTTTAGCGGCTCATGACTTGAGATTCATGAAAAATGTAGAAACGGTGTTTCTTGGACAATTCCTACCCTGCTGAAACTTCTAGACCAGGGAAACCTGCCAGAAAGTGTTTTGGGCGGCCTTCCCGCAGGACAGGCGCTTGTGTGCCTTCACATACCTGAAAGAATATCTAAGGCGGACTTCTTCCCTTCGGAAAGAAGGGGGGGGAGCAGAAGTTGTTCATATCGTTCAGCAGACCACACAGGCCAGTTGGTTCTGCGACCCTGGCCAGGTGGGTTAAGTCAGTGTTAGGCACGGCAGGTGTTGACACAGCAACTTTCTCAGCTCATTCCACTCGAGGAGCATCCACTTCAGCTGCTACAGCTGCTGGGGTGTCTCTACATAGCATCATGAATGCAGCGGACTGGTCACGAGAGTCTACCTTCCTGAAGTACTACAGGAGGGACAACAACCAACACACGTTTGGCCAGGCTGTGCTGTCCACGGCTCTGAAGTCTGCATAAGGTAAATGATATACCCAAATAGGGAGTGTGCAGGTATAATTGAGGATTAGGCAAATTGTACTAACCATGAAGGATAATCCCAATTATACCTCACACGAACTATTTGGGTATATCTTCCCACCCTTGCTGTTCTTCAGCTCCCAAGTAGCTGAAAATGCCCACCCTTGGTGAACAGCACAGACTCTTTCTCGCACGTCGTCAAATGGCGGCGAACAATGTCATTACGTCATGATATCCCGTGATGCTTTGCGATTAGAGCTTTGTACACGTGCGCCACCTAGCGATAAGCATAGGAAATACTGCATAAGGTAAATGATATACCCAAATAGTTCGTGTGAGGTATAATTGGGATTATCCTTCATGGTTAGTACAATTTGCCTAATCCTCAATTTATGATGAAAAATTATTATACATGTATCATATTGATATAATCAAAGCTCTTGAAACAGATCAACATCCGTCTATCAAAGTCAAATTCTAGTTGTGGATAGATGTTTTCTTTCTCCATGTTTTATGTTTTTTGTAGGAGGTACAGTTTTTGCCGGTGCAATAGCTCAATTGGTAGAGTGCTAAATTGTAACTGGGAGGTCGTGAGTTCAAACCCCGGCCGGGTCATACCAAAGACTTTAAAAATGGTACACACTTCTTTCTCTGCTTAGCACTCAGCACATATGAGAAAGACTTAGAGTGTGGGAAGGTCAAACACAGAGCACTACCAGCGGACTAGCCCCCTGCTGTAGTGCATTGCACAATTGTGTGTCGCCCAAGGGCTACGGAAATGGAGATGGGCACCACCCTACGCTCGGGCAAGAGCATGGGAGACCTTCTTCCTTCTTCTTCTACAGTTTTTGACTGTCTTTTTTTCTGTATGTTCCATAGATTCACCCTTGTGGAACATTCTGGTGGTCTCAGAACCAGCAACAACAGCCGTCAGCGCCGCTCTCAGATCCAGAAGTCAGAGATGGCAGAGAAAGAGAGAGCACGGTGGCTGAGAGAAGTCAGTGACCTGACAGAAAAGTATGTTTCTGTTTCAGTCATTTGAGTCATCATTAAAAGTTCAAAATTCATTGTTTAGATTTTGAACCAGCCTGGTGTGTTGACTTCATGGCTCCTATCATACCATTTTGGGCCATAATAGGATGCCTAGGTCTGTTTTTATTTATTTATTTTTTTTTGCCCGCCCGCTCCATTATTTTTCTAGAAAAATCCGTTAAAGAACCAAGAAATTAAATTGGTTTGGCCTTGGTTGCAAGAAGAGAGTAGCCGACCCACCCAATAACAATAACAAATACATCAGGATGATATTAAACATCCCCTGCCTTTCTTTCCATCAGGTACCATGACAGACGAGGTATTGATGTAGGGATAACGTTTGTCCTGATCCACGCCTGCCGTATCATTGGTCGGAAGTACATCTGTGGAGTCAACGGGAACGTCACGCTGGAGAAACAGTGGGGGAGCCAGCCGGAGCCTTTCCTACTCCAGACAACTGTAAAGGTAAAACATTTAATATTCCTGCATAATGTATTTAGTGTACAATGTAAATTCTAACCATGCATATTTTAGTCCTACTTTTAGGTAGATATGACGCTCTATTTTTGGTCTTAGCACTGATAATCGTCTTTGAGACAATCATCTTTTGTATCATAATATCATACTCAATCAACAATCATATTCGGTCAGACAAGATTCTTATTATGTTGAATGGGGTCCTTGGTTATATGTTATCCAGCAGACTCAATGGGGATATATGTATACATGTACTTGTGTCCCAGAAAGTTAGGTGGTAGCTGGTTGTAAATGGTTACAGGACTATAAAAAAACAGAATTGTTGCTAAATTCTGTCCAATGTTATTTTTTTTAGGACATAGCTGTTCATGACCCAAGCTACAAGCAGTTCCGCACACTAGATGAGCTGTTTGCTCCAGGAACCACATGTTTCATGTTGGGGAACCCTCACTATGGCTGTGAAGGGGAGGTAGGTGTCATAGAATTGGGCCAAGTATTATTCCTTGTGGAACACACTGTTAAGAATTACTGTAATTTAGATCCTTAATATTAACTGATGGAATTTATCACATCCATGGCTTTTATGTCTGAAAATTGATGCAAGTTGTCAAAAAATGTTACCTGAAATCATGTTTGACAGTTTGCATTGTGTTTGTTTAAAAACTTTATAGATGTTATGAATAACATAATTTATATGGTAGAAGAAATTTTGCTACATTACTGTCACAAATAGTGTATAGTCTATAGTAGAACTTTGCATGCAGTAATGTAACGGATACAGTAGTGTGGAAAAGTTGATGACTTCTTGGCTGTCAAGACTACACTTTCTCCTGACATATTGTCTTCCTTGAAGGTGTTTGAAGTAGAGAGTGTGAAGGAGGGACGTGTCCGTGTGCTTTTCTCCATCCCTCATGAGCCGGACATCGAAGAAATCAGATCTCGCAGCTCTAAGGTATGATCAGTTTTGTCACAGCGTTTCAAACTGCAGCCTTCTGCCATCAATGGTTACACCAAAACAAGTCCTTACTTGTCAACTACTTGGTCTACAGATATTTATCAATCTAGTACTTAGTAGTGGACAGTGAAATATGTTTTACCTTTGGCAAGAATGTAACTCAAGAAGGCTTACATGGATTGATTTGATATCTGGTATGTGGGAGGGTCTTGACGAGACCTCAAAATGAATATATTTTGGGCTGCCAGGCTGTATTTGTGATGGCAATATATGTGGTATATGTCATGCGATATGACAGCACTTTTTGATGTATTCAGGACCTGCAGATCCAGTATATCCCCTCGTACATGATGGCCCAGCGGCTGGGCATCACAGGTCTGCTCCTGTCTCGCATCACTGGGGACTTCCAGATCCTCAGGGGCTCCAGAGAAAGGTCTGTTTATGAGTTCTGGTCCCAGTGTCTTTAATAATCATTCAAGCAAAAGTTGTTCAGGGTCTCCAGTAGTGTAAACTACATCTATCATAATTTCATATTGTGTAGTAATGGTTGTTTCAAAAGCTTTGTTCCAATACAAGAAAGAAACTCACCCTAAATTTTGGGTCAATCTTGTCAACCTTGCCAGATTGTACGATATTGTATCATTTTATTGTATTGTATTCAATTTGTTTTAAAAATGAATTTGCCAGACATTTGTTATTTTCTGTTACAGTACTGATAATCTGTAGCACTAAGTAGTTATAAGTATAGTAGTTCAAGTTTTTACGTGTTTGTACAAAGGTTTAAAAGGTTGTTGTTCCTTTTCTTGTCTGCAGTGCCAACAGTAGTTCCAAGGTCAACATCGGACTGAACATCAAGTTCAGCAAGAGGAGTAAGGAGGTTCCGGGGTACACGCGCAAGACTGAAAATGGCTGGATGTACTCTCTCAAGTGCCAAGCTCTCATCTCTGAATACCTTCAGAAGTAAGGAGCACACTCTCAAAGTCTTTCAGTCTTAGTCATTTAAATGTGGTACATTGTATTGGTAAATGTAATGGTAGATGTCATCTCTTATGTTGTTGGGATGAGCTGTAGCTTCATTTAAATGCTTTGAGTATTATGATTATTTGCCAAAGAATTTTTCTTGAAAAAGATACAGGTTTATGATTCTTAGTTGTTTCTTAAAGTACTTGTAAGAAAAAAATACAGTTACTAGTAAGCTAGCAACTGTTTAAGATACTCAACTTGTTTCTTTACAGGTTTCCTCATTTCTTTGAGTATGTAGCAAGACACCCCAACGAGGACAATTACTACGAAGAGGAAATCTTCAACGAACAAAACAAGTGAGTGAAACAAAGGGCATCATATCCTTTCTTAAACCCTTCTAGAAAATAATTGACTTTTTAAAATTAGTTAATTAATCATGAGACTAAAGAAAATATGTATCTTAATGATCTGACTTATAGAATGGTTTTGAATGGTTTATTATGCGATACAAACTCATCGCAGCTTATGAGCTGAATTGCGAGTTCATGTACATGTACATATAGAAATTTTCACAAGATGACATATACAATCACTCTAAAAGTTTACAAACTGCGAACAGGTGACAATACATATTTAAAAGATGCAATACATATTTAAAAGACACAGTGCATATTTAAAAAGATACAATTACATATTTAAAAGATACAAAGTAATTATCAAAGGTACCAATTGATAATCTTTGGTGCATTTCTCTGTGGCATCTTCTAAAACTCATAACTATTTTTTATAGCTGATAAGAGGAATATCTTTGACATTAATAATGGAGGCATTTGATGGCAAAGTTCCTATAGCTATGCAAAGAAAAGGGGCAGTTACAGTAGTAGTCTTTAAAAAGTTGCAACATTTCCAACAGGATGGATGAGTCCACACTCCAAAAAGTGAAAGACTGGCTAAAGACCATCCCTACCTACGGGATGGAGACGGTAGACTGCGGGACACTGGCACTGGACGAACCTGTGGTCAAGGCCATCGAGGAGGCAGTGGTCAAGGCCAGGAACGACAAGAGGAAGAAGAAGAAGGTCAAGATGGGAGTCAGGCCGTTCCTGCTCTACAGGGTCAGTGGAATTGTGAAGTCTGCTAACAAAAAAAATTTGGTGATGCTGTGTTGCTATGTAGCACAGTGTTCCAAGTAGTTTGTAGTCCACTGTTCAGAGTGTAGAGATGTTATGAACTGAAAGTTGGATAAATGGACCGCTCTGTGTTACAATGCAGAAATAGCAAAGTCTTGTGGTAGGGTTCTTGAGTCAGAATCTGAAGGTTCTTGGTTCGAATCCTTGGCAGGCCCCAGTATTGTGCCCTGGGGAAAGGCGTAAAGGTGTTACGAGACCTATTTCCTCACTCGATATATGAAAATGAGTACCTAACTTCAGCTGGATGAGACATAAAAACCAAAGGTCCCATGTTCGAGGAGAGTCACGCCTTGAGCACATTTAAGATCCCACTGTACATATTAAAAAGAGCAGGGGTCCTTCCCAGTGTGAGTGGTTCAAACCTTACAATCTGGTCTCAGGGTCGACATCTTAGAAAATGTTGTGTGTTGAAGGTGATAGTAACCTGTTATGTCAGTCCTTCCACAAATGTGGTAAATCTTAGAAATAAGAAATAAATGCAGAGATAGACAATAAAATATATAAAATCATACTCTGTCTCCCTAGCCTGTGGATCACCAAGGCTTCCTGATCCCTGACCCCGGAGCAGACTACCAGCTGTTTGACCGCGTGGTAAACGTGAGAGACGGACACGGCGTCCCCCTGGGGCTGCGCGGAACGGTCATCGGCGTCCACTCTGCCACCAAGGACATCGACATTCTGTACGACATCGTCTTTGATGAACAGTTTCAGGGAGGCCTGTCGCTGAGGTGAGTTTCAAGAAAGGTGATTGGTATATCATGGTTAGTTAAAGTCCTTCCCGCACCAGGTGGTGCTTGGGCGGTACCCATCTCCAATTAAGTAGCCCTTGGGCCACACAATTGTGCAATCACTACAGCAGGGGACTAGTCCACTGGTAGTGGTGTGTGTTCAACTCTCATACTACTTTTTCCCAAATACTGAGTGCTCAGCAGAGAAAGGGGACTAGGCCGGTGATCGAACTCAGGACCTACTGAATGCAAGGCTAGCACTCTACTCACTTGGCCATTGCACCGGTCTTCCTGAAGTCCATTCTATTATCTTAATGCTGGTACAATATGAATACAATACAGTGACAGATATATACTGTACATGACATTGTAATGTTAACTTTCTATGAAAGACATTTTTCTTGGAAATATTTTGTAGACTAGCATCATTATATTATGAGTTATACAGAAGATATGCAGCAGACTAACATGCAATGGACCTTCCACTCCAGGGGCTGTTCTGCAGGCTATGGCTACAGGATGCCTCCGTCTGGTCTGGTCAACATCTCCTTCGGCCTGAGGAAGGAGAGTGGTCAGCTCAAGGGAAAACCAACGGCAGTGGTCAAGCCGACGTCCACTCCATCCCCCCAGCAGAGAACTCCTGAGCAGTACTCCAACATCCTCCGCAAACCAGCGCAAAACATTCTCAACCACTCTCCCAACTCTCCCTTCACTCCCAAACAGGTACAGGCTGCAAATGAAAGCTCATCTGAATTGGTAGAATCCATAGTTGTAAAGTTCAAGCTTTGTTCCAACACAAGAAGGGAACTCAAAATAAATTTTCGGTCATTCGCGTCAACCTTCGTCAGATGTGTGATGCAATTGCTGACTTCCGGAGAGTCAGTGAGGGCATCACATATCAGGTGAAGGTTAACGAGATCGACGGAAAATTTATGGTGAGTTCCCTTTTTGTGTTGAAACAAAGCTTTAACTTTGCAACTATGGTACAGGCTTCTACATTCAGTTGGATGGTGATAGTTGTGGTTACCATGGTGATGACAGTGGTTGTCATGGTGATGGCAATGGTTGTCATTGTGATGATGACTGTTGGTAACCTTTGTGTTGATAATGGCTGCGGAGTACTAAGACCAAGACTGACTTTTGTTATAAGCCAGAGATATACTAAGCCATACTTAGTGAAATAGGGAATAACAATCCTTTTTAGATTTTTTGGGAAAGTGCTTATAATGTCAATTAGCAACTATAGTTATCAGTATAATACTATTAGAATCTGCACTAGTACTAGTACCAATATTAGAATCTTTACATAGCACATGTATGTTAAGCTGAGACTAGTTGATAGTACTTACTGTATCAAGTTATTTTCGGTGAAGTTATTTTCGATAACCAAACAACCCGAGTTATTGTCTTTTCAGGCAAGCCCTTATGCAACAAACAAGGCTTCCCAGTCCACTCCCCCCAGCAGCACCCCTCAGTCCTCGCGAGGATGGTACAGTCCACAGGCCCCTGGACCGCAGACGTCGCCACAGTTTGTAACTCCCAAGGTCACCCCAGGGTCTGGGGGCAGGACAAGGTCAGACCAATCAGGAAGTGCAGAGAAGGTAAGTTTGATTGGAAAATTGAATGCAAAGAAACTGAATTTCCGTTTGAAAGCCGTTTGGATCAAAATAAACAAAATTTGATGTAATTCTAACAAAAGTAATACTCTTATAGCTGTTCATGGTTTTGTATTACCTTGTCAAATTCTAGTATCAATTTTTAAGTAAGGAAAATCATTTTCCTTGTGCATTTCTTGCAGACCCAGGATGTGGATGAGTTTGCCAACATGTGGAAACAGCTTCAGCAGGCTAACTCCCCCCAGCCACCAACAAGTGGTACGGTCCAAACCCTTCTTGTGTAACACCTGCTTGTAAGGCCATGTTGATTTGATTATATGGATGACATCCTCCGGGAGCCCCCAAACTGATGCGCGCGTGCGAATAAAAAAAAAGTTTTGCAAAAAAAAAAAGTTCTTTTCATTATGAAATCTACGTGGTCATGAGGGTTGAGCAAATGGGACAGAATATGGTTTGGCGAATAATCTAGTCTTCAAGTTCATTTCTTTACATTTTCGTCTTTTTTCGTTTGATTTTGGCATTCTACGACATTGGTATAGTTTTTATTAATTTTTGTTGTAACTTATGGTATCATTTTGCTCATTTTGCAACTGTTTTGTACGATTTACAGTATGGTTGAAAATTTTTTTTTGGAAACGGCCGAAAATTCATGCGCGCGCGGATGTCATCCATATAATCAAATCAACATGGCCTAAACATGAAACAAATGTATTGAAAATCAACCTTGACAATTACTTATTTGCAGTGTTTTTATCAGAAATTGCCATAAAAATGCATGGATTATTTGAGATATGTTTTCTACATCTTATTCAGAAAGCTTGGCTTGTTGTGATAGACAGTGGTCTATGGTAACACTGACTCCTTTTGTTCATTTTCCAGGCCCAGACACTTCTGCACCGACCTTAGAGCAAGCAGCAAGATCCCTGCCGATGCACACTCCAGCCTGGAGCCAAGGCATGCCATCAGGACAGCCACTCCCCACCCAGGTGGCTAAACCCTCCCCACACCCTCAGCAACCCCCCCAACTCTACCAGTCCCCCCACCCCAAGCAAAAAATTCAGATCCAAACCAGGGACTCACAACAGGGGTTGTCCACAAACAACCAGCCGTCAGATGACTTCTCCAGGCTGTTGGCATCGCTGCAGTTGTCGGCAGAAAAGAGTTCTGGAAACCCCCATGAGAGCCAGACTACTTACGTCAGGGATGTGAAGTCACCCAACACTATGAAAAAGGTACAGTTAAGATTCATTGCCTGTGCAGGTAAGTATGAGCGGCGTTTTAAGATACTAGAAGCATTTATGTCTGTGTCACACTTAATGTAGCATTTGATCTGTAGCGAGATTTGGCAAGAAATGGTACTTTTACGTCGATGAAGGTTAGACATCCAGGTAATATGATACGCCAAAAAGCAGTTACTCAAGCAACTGGATATGATTTTGAAAACGTCAGACGTTTCAGCTAGTATCCACTGAATTAAGCTTCTGTTCTGTATAACAGGAGCTTTCAGACTAATTTGCATCATCTTGTCTTGACTTGTCTGACTTTTGTTCCTTTTTTGACTTCCAAAAATTTGTCTTCACTTTATTTGCATATCAATCAATAGGTTGTGCATATAAACCTGTTTTCCCCTCTGGTCTCTCAGTCACTGACGAAAGCTAGTGGATACTAGCTGAAAGGTCTGACGTTTTCAAAATCATATCCAGTTGCTTGAGTAACTGCTTTTTGGCAAATGGTACTTTTGTTGTGGCAACAGTTATTTTGAAAGAAAAACATTGGAATCCCTGGTAAAGATTTCTTTTTTAAAAATTTCTTTATACTTTATCATCATTCATTGTACAGAAAGTGTAGTAAATGCAAAATAATATATCTTTGCTTTGTTTTCAAACTAATTTTGAATCAAAACCTGTACCAGGGGCAGACATACTTAACATAAAGAAAAAGCAAATACCGGTATGAATTGAGTAAGCCCTGTTAAAGATGGTTTTAACTTTCAGGAAGGAACAGAGGCCATCCGTCAGATGTTGAACATTGGTCAGGGGAAGGCAGGTGAGACCTTCATGATGGCAGGTCAGCAATCTCAGGGCACCATAAACTCCAGTGTGATACCTAATAATGCACCTTCTACAGCAACAACTTACGGCATGCCTATTGCTGTGTCCACTTTGTTTAAAGGTACAGGTACAGATATGCGTGCTGTGGTATGTTGTGGTGTGGGATACTAGTATTAGTCTAAGCTTTTCTTTTGATTTGTACACGCACATGTAGCACTGCAGTTTTTGTATTGAGGGTAAGAAAACAGTGCTAAGCATGCACTGTTGAGGTGGTTTGTACACTGTTGAAGTGTATGTGATGGTACATGTAGTTTTTCAGCATGTTTTTGCAACATTCCACCACAGTTGTGCACTACTACAATGGTTTGCTCTCACTGCCAGTTTGATTTCTGTGTTGTTCCAGCATGCAAATAGAAACCTTACTTGGTAACAATTAATATTCCACTGCCCAGTAGTTGCTGTTAGTACAAAAAAATGCACCATGGTAGACTTATTTGTTCCTAAAAATACACATGAATTGCTTTTCCATTTGTACATTTTTACTTTGAAAGTGCGTTCGTTTAGTCCAACGTGTTTTCCTTTTCTCTTGTTCATTATCTATAGGTGCAGCTGCTCCAGTCCAGGTTGTGTCTGTCCCCTCCCCCATCCCCCCTCGACCCAACCTCATCCCCCACCCCCGCCCCATACTCAACCCCCCCACCTCCCCACCTGCCTCAGCCCCTGCCCCCTGGTGTCAGACCCCCCCTCCAGCACACCCCACCCCTGGGGACCAGACCTCCCGTCCAGCCCCCACCCTCGGGTGTCCGTCCCCAGGGTCAGGCCCCGCCCACCCTCCAGCTGCTCCAGTGGTGTATGAATGTCGGTATGGGACCTCCCAACTACCAGCATCGCCCTGAAAAGGTACAACAATCAAGCTTGGAAAATGTTATCTTCCTTCTCCATATTAAACTTCTCTGTACAGTTTCCCTAGAGTGAAAATCAGTCTAACTGTTAGGGAACAATTAGGGAATGTGGGGTCGTGTGGCGTAACGACAGAGCGTTGGCTCGGTACCAAGAGGTCCTGGGTTTGAACCCCGTCATGTCACCAATCTTGTGCCCTTAGGAAAGGCACTTGACACGACTTTCCTGGATGGAGGCCTGGCGAACCCCATCTCGTATTAGCCACAAAAAGGCAGCAGAGTCTTCAGCTAGTTGAAGGCGGCTGCCTCAAAATAAAAGAAGAAGAAAAGAAAGAAGAAGAGTTTCTTCTTCATAAGCCTTACTTTAAGCTATGGTTTCATGATTTAAGTGTCTAACTCTTACAAAATATGTATTAAATAGGTACTAATTGTACCAAAATTGTTAGAAAATGTGAAATTATGGAAGAACTATGACATAATTCAGAGTTACCATAACAGTGATAAAGACTGAATAGTACAACATCCTGGAGACTTCCTAACTAGTTTTCCTGCCCCCTGTAGAACATGTGGGTGTGCACCGTGAGACTGGGTAGTGGACTGACCCTGCAGGGAGCCCCGTGTGCCACCAAAGAGTATGCCGCAGATAGCGCTGCCGCAGTCACAATACTGCATGTGGTACGTAGCTCGTTGTATTCCAGCATATATATATATATATATATAGTTGATATAATGCTTGTTACTGTTAGAAGCCATCAGTTAGTGCAAGCATGGCAAGGGGTGATTTTAGTGTAAATCATTAATGTCAATTTTAAACTTTCTCAGTGTTATTCATAGATTCTGTGTTTCTGAAAAAGAAGGTAACCAGAAGTTCAGTCAGTTATTCCTGTCTGTAGCTAACATCTTGCAGACCTGGAAATAGCTGTGTAATCAATAATGTTCTCGAAAAGGATGGGATAGAGGACAATGCAGAGATGGAGTAGTAATTAGTAATTTGTTATTCTGAACAAATATGATTTTTTTTTCCAGAACTCCTCCAAGTCCCCGGCACCAAACCACCCAAACTTCCACCCCGGGTCTCCCATGGGTGGGTTCTCCCCACGCAGACCCATGCTGCGTAACCCTCAGGTGGCTGCATCACCACCCAGGGGGCCCACAGGTCAGTTTGTTATGGTTCCCACTCAATGGGATCCATTCTCAGCAGCTTTCGTAGCCCATGTCTCAAGGATGGAACCTAACTGATGGAGAGCCACACCTTGAGCACCTTAAAGAACCCAACATAGTCACCTAAAAGAGCAGGGTCCTTCCTGGTGTGAGTGGTTCAAACCTTAAAGTCTTATGGCCGCACCTGTGGTCGTATTGAGGTCACCCGACTTAGCGCCGAATGGCAGCCGCTCCAGACCCTTGCAATTCAGCCCCACCAATTGTTAGCTGCAAGGAGAGAGTAGCTGACCCACCCAATAACGTTGAATTATGTTTGGAATGGCAGTCACTAGTGCCACTAATGTTAATGTCATTGACATCGTAGTCTCTTAGATACCTATAGACATGGAGATCATTGAGATAAGTGAGCTGATGCAGGCTTCATTGACAAGTGTTTTTTCTTCTTTTTCTCCAGGTTTCCCTAACAGGGCTCCAATGATGCCTGGCTCACACCCCTTCCCAGGAATGGTACAGGCCCGTCCTTTCTCCGGCCAGCCACAGTACAACATGCCGTCACCCGGCTTTGTCGGACCGTCCCAACTCAGTCCTCAGCCAGGGTGTCCCACTTCAACACACGGTCTTCTCAAGAACAACCCATTTGTGCCTTTACAGGTAAGAACTGTGGTTGTTAGAAAATACTATAAATCACTTAGTATTTGCAGTACTGTACTTTTAAATTCACGGTTTTCATGGTCACATCTGTACTTTATCATTATCGCAAAAATTAACTGACTTTCCTTCTTCTGCACCTGACATCACTACAAACGTATAGTTCCGCAACATGTCCATTTTTGTCAGACCACAAAATTTTGCTACAGTGAATATAAAATTATTTACAGCAATCAACATCTTGACTTGATATCTGTGAAGTTAGACATGCTTGGCACAAAGTAACCTTTCAGTGTTGTAACTTTCCTTGACTAGAATGTTCTGTCTAAGGGTAATGCTAGTATTTTCTGTCTTCAATTACACAGGTAACAAGACAGACCACGCCACAAAAGTCTAAGGACGAAGTCACCCGGGATTTCAGCCAGCTGCCCAACATGCCAGGCCCCACACCAGACCAGCAACAAGCATGGACAGAAGAGCTGGAAGCAACCATCAACAAAGTCAGAGAAGCCAACAAACTAGAACAGGAGAGAAACCCTCCAACAGAAGCAGAACAAGGACAGGCCAGCTTAGGAAATGATGAAAAGAGTGTAGCAAAGATGACGGAAAATGAAGCGTTAAATGAGGGAGGTAGTGAAACGGCAGAAGAGGAAAACAAAGAGAAACAAGTCAAGAAAGCTTCGGAAAGAAGAAAACCACAAATAAAGTTAGCTGTGAAGTTTGGAGTCCCTCCTCAGGAGTAAAACCTTACAGAAATATCCCTTAATCTGTGAAGAATGATGATAGACCCACTCAGTTACAGTTAAAGAAACAGCACCGGCTAAGATAGGCTCTACGGTACATGTTCAATCTAAGTGAAAGACTGAGAATTTTAATTACATGTATGAAGACGATCAGTACTGCAATAGAGGTAGTGTGTAACCAGCCATTATGTTTTTGTTAGGACAAAGGAAGTAGTTGCAATTCACTGTGTATATGTGTAAAGATGCAGATGACTTGATGAATTCTATTCTAAGTTAAAGCTTCATTCATAGAATATGTACTTGCTGCATGCTTATTTTTATGAGAAGTCTTGAAAACTTTATTGGTTCAAGTGTGAATTTTTCAATAACTGCCAGAAACTAATATGTATTTGCAAGACTGATCATACATTTTTGTGCACAGTAATTGTTGTCCAGTTCATTTTTGAAGACAAACGAAGAAACTTACGATTGTTTGATAGAAGAAAAGTAATCATTTTTTGTTGTTGTCATACCCAATAACATTAGGAGATATCATTTTTCCTGTTTTATGATGATATTGATTGTTTTTCCGTCCCTTCCCAAGACATGCCATTCTGGCCAGAACAGTATTTTTTCTGACGTAGACAAGTTGAACATGTTTGTAAATCCATGTGTAGTGAACTTCACTATCATATCTTACATAACTGCCTCCCTCCATCACCAATTTTGTATTGGTTTCAGCAAAGACCAGTACTAGGATGAATGTTAACTACAGTAACTGTAACAGTAGACGGTATGTCCAATGTGTTGTGAAGATCAAGTCAAAAACCTCTTTTAAAACTTGCAATTGTGGTATCAGTGAAACATCATCAGTGAGGAAAATCAATTTCAATTTTCCTACTTCGAAACAACAACAAAAAATCAGGGACATTGACATTAATAGTTCATATTAGGATAAGATCAACATATAGATATGTCAAAACGTGTGACAGTTGAAGATGTCTTTTTGTTTTCTTTTGGGAGAGACTGCGATATTGAAACAAACATTTACTGGTACAATATCATATTTCGTCACTGTATTTGGTCAAGTAAAGAGGAGGTATCACACAAAGAGGATTCCTGATACATGAATTTTGTGATCAGCATTTTACTATCAACCTTTTATTGTCCATTTGTCAGCTCTTTGGACGACCACTAAGGATTCCAATGTAATGGAAAGTACCACCAAGTCTGTTTTTCGTTGTAGTACATCTAACTTGTAGTACATCTAACACAGTGTTAGTTGCTGTACTTAAAAGACATTCAGGGTATCGATGATAATGTATTTGAATATTTTCATTTGGACATTTTATCTTTGTTGTGATCTGTGCAGAAGACAGAAATAAAACATTGATTTGGACAAAGAAAAACAAATTGTCATTTTTACAGGTTAACAATAACGATATCAATAGTGTACATATATACAGTAAGATAGTAACAAAGGTCTAGAATAAACATGCTAGTAAATGTGCTATTGACTGGGACCCTTTCTCAAGAAATGAGTTATTGTCTCATTGTAATTTCTAGCTTGCTGTACGGGGGAAATTGCCTTTCAACTGGTATACTTTGTTGGTACTTCCTACAAGAAGATACTATTATGTCTGAAGTAAGCATACATTTCCTTAAAATACTCGTCTTCTTGATAGAGCTCTGTTTCTGAGAAACCAAGTCCATCTTTATGGTTGATGGGCGTGCCCCCGTCCGTTGCTAGGGCCATTTTGTATCTGTACAAAATCCTTTGCTTCACAGTTGTGAGAATGGCGTCTCTTGCCGCATCCCCCAACACAGAGGGGTTATCAAAATATCTGATCTCTAGATAAAGTTTGTACCACCTTTTCAGTCCTAGATCTTCCACCTTCTGCAGATTACTAGGATCAAAATAAGAGTGGTAAGAACAGAGAACTTCGTCAAAGATTTTGGTGAGTGCTTCGAGGCAGAAGTCTGGGTTTCGAGTTCGGTTAAGGCAGACGAAACACGAGTCGTTCAGGTACAAAGATGTTTCGTTTTCTGGAATGTGGTCGAAGGTTAAGTTGACGCATGTCAGGTTCTGGTAACATCCGGGGACTGGGGAGAGTGTGTCCAGGTGAGTGAGGAAGTCCTGGGTCCTGACCAGGTCTCTGACGTCATCAAATTCGGCACAGCTGGTGAAGGTCAAGGTCACGAGGACGACAGCTGCTGCACAGGCGAAACGTGACGTCACCTTCATTTTCTGTTGATAAATACATCAGAATCATTGTTAGAATTTTATTTTATTATTTACTTCCTGTTCACCACAAAACAAGCTTAAGGCTCATGGGAGCCACTCAAAAGTTTTGGGTTACTGTACAGACAGTGAGGACAGATGTTTGTTGACCTTGAAAGGTTTAAGGTTATACCCATATGGGAAACAATCACGTGGAAGCTTATTCCATAATCATGTTGTTCTAGGAAAGAAACTTTCAGCGTGGAACTTCCTCCATGCTCCTAAGAGGTGGTGTATGGAGGAAGAAAAGGTGATTTGCTTCAGTGGAAGTGGCAAAACTTCCTACAAGTTGGCATCTAAACTTTGCCCTTGTGACTACAGCAGTTTCTTTTCTTTCCAAAACTAATAATGTTACAAGATGTTTAGACAAACTCTAACATTCTTACGTTTAGTATCTATACAGGATAGCTTTTCCGCTTTTAGAATCCGTAAGATACTAATGTTCGCTGTGCATGAATCGAACAAACCCTGAAACTGCATACATGTAACGTTATATGCTTTGTGTGTATGTCGTTTTGCCGAGCAGGCATTTCACCTAGTTAAACATCACAGACTGAACATACAAAAGCCTTACAATTACAACACTACCTCTTTTCACGGGGCTCATATAAATGCTCGCGCAGGGAAATAAAACTGCCTTTTACTAAGCAGCGTGGACACTTTTACGACTGTACACACTCTAAGCGCAAACAATGCGTCCCCACACGGGGTATTTTTCTTTACCTTAACGGTTCTCCACGCAATGGCCGAGTGCTTTTTTTCACCACCGAAACAGATACACACATTCTAAGTACGTTTCCTCAGAAACGTTAACGTTATCATGAAATTTGTAATTAGAAGAATCATTTGAACAGGTGCGTTCAGTCGTTTACCAGCGGCACGAAAAGGAACAGGTAGTGACATTCTTTTCATTCGGTTGGTTGCACGGGTATACTTTGCCCACAAGGAATGTTTTTGAACGTTTACCGTTACACAAACAGTCGGACATTTGTCTCATATTGTCAGCGGTTTCAAGGTCACTGCAATCATGCAAAAGCTAACATGGAACGCTCTTTTCCCAGGCTATTCCTTTACCCTTAAATGTTCGCCTGTATTCAATCTCGCTAGCTTCTTTTAATAGCCATAAACTGAAATATTTTAGACTAGAAAGAAGGGGTTGGGTACGTATTTCTAAAGAAATGTAACGGTTCTCGTTTTACAACATTGTACGTATAGTCAATTCTTAGTGTTGAACATTTCGCAAAACCTATAAGGAAAAACGTTCTCGACATCAACAGCTCATGCAATTCTTAAATATTACGAAGAGTTGCAACACAGTGTGGTCTAGACATAAAAATAACAAGGAAGGAACGTAACAAAAGTAAAATGTACCATTGTTTCTTTAGCACATACAGTAGGTCTGACTAAGAATTTACATGTTATCTTTTAAAATATTGGCCATAACATTATGTGTATTGAGTGTCTAACCCGGTAGCTCTTCCTTTATCTTGGGTATTCTGCATACTAGTATTCTCTGTCTCTGTAAGCGTTACGTTGAATAGATATATGTCCCACTCAGGTAGTTAATGTTCAACACCTCTTGACACCTTTAACAGCGATTAATAGGTGACTAGACAGATCAATTGGTACTAAACAAACACTATGATGATATCCTATCATGATCGGTGGACTTTGAAGATTTTCGATCATGTTAAATGTTTCGCAGTCTGGTTCTCAGTTTTGCTGCTAGCATGCTGTATGACCGATAGTAAATGTATTTCAGAAGGAGTGTGAATTATGTAGGCCAGACATACGCATGAGGAAGTAGAAAATCGAATTATTCGCGGTAGGGGGCATATGGTTTGAACTGCCATGACGCATCGATTGAGACACACATATCAATGCGTATATCATAACCTATGTCAACTGAATAGAAGATCATTGCTCATAAATTTTTCATTGCACGCAGTATTAACTCAATGTCGAGCGTTGTATGAAATACGGCATTGTAAAATCCATTGTAACGTTTAATAGGACCGGGTTTCTGTCGTTTTGAAATGTAATATGCCGCACTCATATTGGCAGACTTACTAGTACATGTATGACACAAACAACCTAACATTGTTGCAGGTACGAATGTGTACATACTTAGGGTTAGTGATCACCGGTGCACGTAGTGTTACACACTACTGAGGGCCAACGGTGAACAAGTCTAGTTGAGCCTTTTAAGGGCTGATTGTTTCAACTAGTAACATGTCAGTTACGTACAAGGTAGAGACTCTATTGTCTATATCTAAGGTTCCTTTTCTTTCACGTCCATAGATGGCATAGATGCCAACACTACAGTTGTACCGGTAATGTTGTCGAGTCAAAATTCCCTTTTCATCAATTTACGTACTTGTTATGTGCATAAAAGGTAAAGGTAAGTATAACTGACGTCTTTATCCAGTCCTTTCTAAAGCAGGACTACAAACTAGGTTGTTTGTAAAACAAGCTTACCTGAAGAAACTTGTGTAACACAATTCTTCCACGAAAGGGCGTTTTGTAGATCTCCTTGTGATGTGTTGAGCTAAACGCTTGTTTCCCCCAACACTGGGAGAAATATGCAGGTCTGTAGGATGGCTGCCGCTCCGCTGGGCTGTTGCCTGGTTAGTAATGTGGTGAGAACGGCGGTACAATGCACCGGGATGATGAGGCGTATCAAAGTACATGTACGCAACACTACACAGGGGACGGGCTATACCACTACTACACAGGGGTGTACTCTTTTTATCGCCCCTATCGTAATCCAGTGATAATATTAATAACACATAACTAGTAGAAACGTATGTTGATATAGTGTATTCTGGGTTCCATAAACTTACCTATATACGTACCTATATACGAGAAAAGATGTATCCATAAAGGGCAAATAAGCCGACACACCGTTAAAGGGGCAATATTGTGTATCGTGCTACTTTTATGGCTATGACTGGTTTCCTACACACCTGTCCTATATCATAAATGCTAGTTGGCCCCTAATTATGTATCTAAATAAACTGCACAGGGAAGTGTAGTCAATAGATTCAAGTAGTTTATTATCTCAAAATCACAATACAAAGAATCAGAAGCAAACTCTCAATGGCAGTTGAATTAAGTACGTCATGGAAAACTGTACCGGGCCTTATGGAGTAGTTATGACATGATCGCTTTCCTTGAGCAAAAATATTACCTACACACCACACATCTCAAAGTAGCGCAAATCATGCACATTTCTGCAAAAATACACAGACTGATTCACGGAAAAAACGATACGTATGCATATCTGTTATCGTGCATATTTCAGGTAACTTATACATGTATATTACTATAACTTTGTTTCTTGAATGCGACGTAGTTAAGCCTCAGTTTTTTACAGTGCCTCACAGAGGAAATTCATGCTGCAATTCACACAGGTTCCGCATGATGTCAGACTGTACCACATGTGCCTCTGGGGATTAGACAGCATATAAAGTTGGCACTTACGTGTCTAGCTATAGTCCAGCAAAGTTACTTCAATATCGCTCGGAAGTCCGGTGTTTCCAGCCCCAGCCAGGCCAGTATGCCAGCCTTCCCGGACATCTCCTCCACCCTGCTGACGATGTTCCGCGGCTTCATCACCTCGCATGTCGCGGGGTGGATGTAATACCGCCGCCTGGTCCTCCTGGCGCCGACCACGTTCTCCCACTCTCTGGCGTCGTCTTCAGAGACCCTCAAGTCGCAGTGGCTTCTGTTCTTTACTACATCATGGGTGCTATTTTCCGATGAGGTTTCCACTATTAACGTTGATGAAAATTTGTTCAACCACTCCTCCACCCGTGCTGCTGTAGGGTCAGGTGCCCCAGATGCCTCCTGGTTTTCATGTTCTACTTTTGACTGCTGTTCGTCTTTTTGTTGTGTTGCTGTTTTGGGCGCTATTGAGGGAAGGCAGAGGTTGGAAGATTCAGTCGACGCCGAATTTCCATCTACATTTTTTGGAACTTTCTGGACTTCCCGTGAAACACCGTCCTTGTTGCCAGGGAGAGTTTCCTTTTGCATACGAGGCCTTCCCGTCAGAAGCTGTTGTCGACGCACTCTTGGCGGCGTGCTGAGGAGAGCGTGGTCTTCTCTTTCCAACTCAAGCATCTTCTTTCGGAAGCAGTCGCTGGCTGTGAGCGCTCTGGTGCGCGTTTCTTTCCTGTCTTTTGGAGGTGTCCCGCTAGGAGGAGACACGTTTGGGGTGTGGTCCACTGACTCGTCTCGAAATTCTTTCAAGATATTATCCTTGTCTTCCTCCGTCCATCTCACATTTCCTCTAGGACCATACTCTGTAACCGGTCTTCTATTGTTCTTCTTCAATACTTCGGGTGAAGCCATCCCAGTATCAGCCTTCGTTGGGGACAACGACCGCATCTTGTGCTGGGTGTTTTGAAGATTCCGAAGTCTTCCCTGGAAAAGTTTCTTCTCCTGTGCCCTGTTCTTCATGAACACCGAATTTTCTTTCTCAAACTGTTGGAGGAGAACTTTTCTTTTCCTGTCTTCGTGATCGTTCATCGCTCGAACTTTTGTGACCGTCTCGGCGTTTCTGGCCGGAGGATATGTCGTCTGAAGGGACGCCATAGTTCTTCCACCGGGCATATTGCCCTGAAAGAGTTTAAAAATCATGATCAGTCTTGAAGAATGACTAAAAATCTTCACACAGCGCAAAATTTAACAAGGAATAAAATACTATCTATGAAAATTTGTACACGTGTAAATTCTATCAACACACAGAAAGAAATGCAGTTATCATGTTGTTTTCCTATGCTTGAAAGATGAAAAATCTGAAGTATGCAAGTATACAATTTATCGTGTTAATTAGAATAATACATGGACGTATTTACACTACATAAGAAAGACCAGCGCATCGTGCTACAAGTCAAACTTACCTCTTTTCTTATTTTTCTCCCAAAAGCTGTCAGAATCCGTCGTCAAGCTAGTAAGTGATTACCGAAGTTTTTTTTCGGTCTGAAGTTGATGAATTCCTCTTACCAAATGCCACTTTGTTGCTGTGCGCCAGGTTTATATAGGCTGTGATTTCTGATATCTTGACAAAACACGGTTTCATTCATTCAAGACCAAACCCACATCCTGGCTTCCCCTAAACACTGCGTCACACTTCCGACCTGTTTACCAGATCTGTTACCCAATGAAAACATCGGTTACAAAGGCAGGTTCGGATCAAATGTTGGGTATGAAAAAGCGTCACATTCTAAAGTTTCGTCCGTCGGATTGGTCAACACCGTTAGTTATGCTAATCCTTTGGTGACGTGTTTTCACACAGTGACATTTTGTTCGTTGGTGTTTGAAATTATTACAAAGACCCATTCAAGCTGCATACCTAAAGTGCTTTCAAGAACTAAAAAAGGAAAAGTGTAAACAGTCCGTTGGGGCAATGTCCTCTCTGACAAGTTTACTGCAAATAACAGCGTGCGACATTGCAGCTTACTGCCCCCTCGTGTTTAATCATTATGCTTCTGACGTGAATGTTGATCTGAGTCCCACTGGACCACTGGTGTTGGAATATCGGCAATATCGTGAATAATTTTCTTTACACATAAGATTTATATATTGTTTGTCCATTTGACAAGGGTCAGCCAAAGGCAAAGCTTACTCGAGTCGTTATACTGTATGTGATTTGAACGCTACCTTGTCAAAGTACATCTGACGACTTTACTGCTTGGTTTCTCATGGTTTTGCCTCTCACTTCTGGCTTATTTTATCCCATTGCTTCGTTGGCATCCAGCTTTCTGGTACATATGTCAAATTATTCTCTTTTAGGAACTGGATATTCTACCAGATCAAGCCTGGGGTTCTTTTTTTTTGGAGCAGTCTGTCAGTCTGCAGATACAGCCATATGTATTACAGGACAGAGATGCATTAAAGAAAAAAAAAACGTTAAAAGTTAATTCTTGGTGATCAACTAATCTAACATGAAATATCTTGTTAAGATAAACTATAAAGGCTGTTTACATCAATGGTGGTGACTAATGTTTTCAAAAGTATCATTTAACGTTTTGAATACAAGTAGGTAATGTTGTTTCAACGTATCGATATCATTTCACAGAAAACAAATACGACATTATGGTTTAAATTTACGTATCACCAAGTCTTTCCCTGAATGTCCCATGGTTGCGTCCTGTTTATTGTTCTGAAGAACCATGCTGATGTTGAAAACAGATTTAGTGATATCGATATTCATCATTATAACTAAACTTCTATTCTCAGACTTATAATACATATTTATAACAATAGATTAGCTTTAGTACCATTATGGATCATTTAGCTCGTTAGAATTATATCTTAGTATTAGTTTATGTATGTACCATTGTTGTTTCTTTGCCATACATTGTACCAGCTACAGTTGTTGAGCAATAAAGTTGATTTGATTTGATATTTAGAACAAGATCCGGCAATATCACAGCAAAATCTTTTGCCCACATTCTAGTATTATTCCAGATTCTACTATCACTGTTGAAAGAAAACGTGAATACGCGAATTTTTCATAACATCCATGAAGAAGATTTTACCTTTCACGGACAAAACGTATATTTTACATTCCAAAGTAACAGGACCAGTGATTAACGTTTTATTCAGCGAGTCCTGTGGAATACGTCACGTAAGATTCCCAAGGGGGCGATACTTGCAACAGCGCCGCTTAGCGACATTTGTGCAAAGCACACCTTGATCACGTGATGTAAATGCTATAGCTCCAAAATGGCAGGCTGAAATTCAGCTGGGCGTGGTGGCGCGCGCCTGTAATCCAGCTACCTGGAGGCTGGGGTTGGTGGACCGCTTGAGGCCGGGGGTTCTGGGGCGTGCTGTCCTATGGCGATCGGGCGTCCACGCTAAGTTCGGCATCGATATGGTTTCCCCGGGGGAGCCCAGGGCAACCAGGTCGCCTAAGGAGGGACGCACCGGCCCAGGTTGGAAACAAAGCAGGCAAAAGTCCCCGTGTCGATCAGTAGCGGGATCGCGCCCGTGAATAGGCACTGCGTCTCAGCCCGGCCAACATAGTGGGACCCAACTCTTTTTTCCTGTTTTTAGTCATCATCTCATCACGCTTTTGCGTTTTGTTACGTAGAAATCACCTCCAAATTCTTTTTCTGGCCCTTTTCTCTTTTTTTTATTTCACGGTCACATACTGTGTTGCTGTGTTGGGTGTTGGTGTTAAATCGTACATTCCCAGGCGCACTACACTGAAAAACACAAGCTTTTATCAAAACAAACATAAGAGAAATGGCGAATATGCCTCAAACTAATTAAAAACATTTTATACTCGTTAAAAACACCAGAGACCCAAACAACCACCTGTTTTGACCTTAGGTAGACTACCCCGGAACCGAGAGGTCATCTCGTTCCCGTCGTAGGTGATCACGTGACAACTCACCAATAACGACGGGGAAGCCAAAATGGCCGCCATTTGTTTGAAAACCAGAATTTCAGGGAAACTGGCATTTTCTCCAGTTTCAAACCCAGTTTAGAAGGGAAAACTACGTGAACTGGTCTTTGAAGATAACCTGACTCGAAAGGTAAGATCTATCAGACCGACTTTATGAGAAATGGTTTAAATTTCGAGACTGAGTGAGTGGGGGAGGGGGGCAAATTTGTTTTTGTTTACTAGAGTAGAAATCCGTAGGAACTTCATATTTTGCATGTTGCATCAGGATCAGTCTAACGTCATTGAAAATATGTAGTCATGTCGGACTTAGGTAGTTAACAGAAACTTTAAGGTGAAGAACAAAAATAACATCAAACGTAATGCCTTTTTGGCCACAGTAAATTAAACCCAAAATCAAAAAGCTTCTGACGTTCTGTAAAATTTTGAATCTGGGTAAAATATACTAGACGAAGTACAAGTGTACTTATTCTAGCTTAGTAAGTTCAAGCAGATGTTTCTGTAACTTTCTTGGTAAGTTGAAACATAATTTGGAGGCTTCAGTAGCATCCTGATTTTCATTGGTTTGCAAGTGTCATCTGTGAGATACTTTTCTACTCAGCATTAATTTTTGTCTCCACAAATTTGTGTCAAATACAGCGCCTGGCGAAATGTCCCGCCAACGACAAGTCATCCCCGCGTCACGGGCCCCCCTGGGGTCACCAACCAAGGACACGCTACACGTCTTAGAGAGTCGTCTCCAGAACACGGAGGGCGACACCCAAGATCTTCTCTCTCAGCTGGCAGAGATGGGGTTTGATCCACGCGTGATCATGTCTCAACAACAGGGATCCAGATCACATTCCCTGGATCCAGGCGTACAGGATCCTATAAGTCCATTCCAGCACAGGGCGGTCCAGGTAGTAGTAGTTGTAGTAGAATGGTTTATTACATACTTTAGAGCTAATAAATGTACATGCAAGCCTCCTGGCAGCCGTGATTGTCATGAGTAGACAATATTGTTGTGGACACATGAAATCGATATAGGGCAGTTATTTTGTAAATTTCCGTTCATTTTTCTCGATTCCTGACGGGCTGCTAAACTCCGTAGCTGCGGTTAACGCACAGTGTACGTCCCGCTTCCTTGTAGTTTACCCGGATAATTAAAACAAAATCTGCAGAAGAAATCCAGAAAAGTGTCGGGCTGGGATTATTGTAGGCAGAATGTTGTAAAAATTTGGGCAATTTTGGCCGTAATTTTTTGGACGCCAACAACTTGTTTGTGGTGGTTTACGCGTACGAGGCTTATTCTGACATCACATTCCGACAAACTCTATACTTTCATACTTAACATTTAAAAAATGTAGTAAAATTTAAAAAGCGATTATTAGTTTAAAATTGGTAGGAGCATTAAGTTTGGTATTACACCTTCAATACAGGTGGCTCCGGAGGTGCTGCAGAAGAAGTATGAGGAACTTGTGGCCAGAGTGTGCAGGACTGAGAGCACCATACAGTCACTTAAGCTGAACCTGGTCACACTGCAGGCTGAGAAGGACTTAAGGGGAAAAGATACTCAGGTACGTATACTGTATGCTGAAAAACATAGCTAGAACATTATACCGGTACTAACTTTAACTTTAGACTCAAAGTGCATGTATAGATTATCATGTGAAATATTCCTGTATTTATTTATTAATGGCTCATAACATCTTGTGCTGATCTTGAATGTTATCATCATGCAGTATAGTGATTTTTAAATGATTTTCATACTTTCATGAATGTTGTATGTTATTGTTCATATGCATATTCATTTTTTATGATTTATAATTTTCACCACTAATTCAATTATAGGTTTAACCAATCATATTGACCTGCCATAGATCTACTCGGAAGCTTTATTACCCTAAAAATGATATGGATTGATGTCCAATTACTTGTAGGCAATAGGACTCATGACCAGATGTTTGAATGGAAGAATGGAAGAAAAGCAAATGCAGTATACTGCTTTTGCTTTGTAGCTTGTAGTATTTTACATAAGATCTTAAGTACTGTTAGACTTATGATAGGTATCATGTGCCTATGATATTGATGAATTACACTTGTCCTTTACTAGCAAAGTCTGCTCTGATTCAAAGTGCTGTTTTCCTAATAACTGTCAACTGCATATTTTTCCTTGTCTGATCTTCCATCAACCTCCTCCCATCCAGGGAGCTAACGAACAGATGGCAGCTGCGGTGGAGGCTTACGACCGTGAGGTGAAGAAGTTGAAAGGTCGTCAGGAGAGGTTACAGAGAGACATGGAGGAGGCTGAGAACAGGAGGGAGACAGCAGTACTGGACGTACAACAGTTACACAACGCACTGGAGGTCGCCAACACTGAGAAGGTTGGGGTCATGTTTTGTTTGAGGATTTTGCAACATGGTGGCGTCGGTGGCGCAACAGTTAGAGCGTTGGACTCGGAACAGACAGGTCCCGGGTTCAATACTCACCATGGCCCGACGGTGTGCCCCTGGGAAAGGCACTTAACACGACTTCCCCACCTGTACGGTGGAGTGACGCCCACCGAGCCTCTTAGGCTAATCTGTCTGTCAGGGTGCCAAAAACACCTTACGGATTTGGTGCGCCAATGTCATATTGGCCACTGAGAGCCTTAAAATTATTATTATTATTTGCAACATGTACTGTGTTCATCATAATTGTATAGATATGAATTAGAGAAGAAAGGAAGGATATAATAAAATAGCTTCAAAGCACTGATAGAATAATTGGATGAATGAATGGATTGATGGAATGTAGCATTCAATGGAAGGAAGAAGGAATACCCAGGAATATGTTTTCATCTTTTGTGAATAGTATGTAACGTTTTCATTTTTACCCTTATACATGTGCCACACACGTATTTGTACAGAATGAGCTGACAGCTAGGTATGAAGAGTTGAAGAACACAAAACAGAAGTTGTCAAGAAGGCTGAATGAGGTGAGCTCTATGCTATTTTTAAGAATTTTGTAGAAATGAATTGATAATGAGAAATTCAATTTGTCCTATTCATTCCAGCCATACCCTTGGTATTAGTCAATGTGTAGATTTAACGTACACTGTTGTTTTCATTGTAGATAAAAGAAGAGTTGTCTCGAGAAAGCAGTCTGCGAGCCAGTCTCGAGGAATCCCATGCTACACTACTGGCCAGAATACACAGTATGGAAGGGGTGGTGGAGACTGAGAGGCATGGGGTAGATGGCACTGTTATAATACCTTGTACTCTAATAATGTTTCCATATGGAGGAAAAAAACAGTTGATTTTGTGTTTCAGAGAGTCTGTAAACCTTTATCACTCTGAAGTAGCCATTTTCAATTGTTTATGGGGTTAGGTGTAGCTTGGAAAAGGTTAAACATATGATACTTAGTGTAAAGACTAGGAATACATTTTGGTGTAAGCAGATCAAATCTCTTAGTTCTCTTAGAAATTGACCATCATTGAATTTGAAAGCCAAGCAAAAAGCTATTGTCATCATTGGACTTAGGAATGAAGTCCAACCATATTTTGTGAACTCCCAGGTTGAGACACTGTCCTCTGACTGTAACGCCCTGAGGAAGGAGACCATGCAAGCGAGGGAAGAGTTGAAGAAAGAACAGATGATACGGGAACAGGTGGAAGAGTTAGTCAGGACACTCAGGGCAGAAACTGGTCAGTACTCTGTATTTTGTGTAGACTGTCTTGTTTCACCTGTTTTATTCTATCCAATATATTCTGCTTTATCCATATTGATCACACAAGTAGGCATTGTAGTATCAACCGTGATCTATCATCTAAGGTTCTTTCTGTATACCAGTAAAGTTATCTTGCTGTACCTCAGTCTTTTTATCTGTATATAATCTATATATGCATACTATTCATAATATGAGATTTATTATGTTTTTTTTTCAGAAATAAGAGAAAGAGAGATGAAGAAATTTGTGGGAGAACATCAGGTAAGTTCTGTTAATGTTTGGTTACCATTTAAATACTATTGTAAATACTATCAGGTACATCATTCTATTTGTAGACATTGGTTTGTATTAAATCATCACACCATTTTTAGTATCATATTCACAAAGTAAATCCATTGAATATCAATGCAATGAGAGTATTCTTCTTGCTAACTTCAGCTTCAGCCGGTTCAAACATGTTGCATGCATATTTGCTTCCACGCAGGTTAACCAGAAGATAGTTGCTGACCTGAAGAGACAGAACGTCGAGCTGAGAGGGGAGTCAGAAAATGCCCGTAGGATCCTCCAGGAACAAAAGGTGGGATGAACTTTTGTTCAAGCGTTCCACCCGTCAAGCAAGTCAGAGAATTGTACTGGAGTATTTCCAAGATTGTGTGGTGAAAATGTAAAATATGTTGCTAACATCTGCGAATAGTTTCATCATGTTGGTAAGTCACTGAATAAAAGGACTCTTTTTTTAATATTTTTACTCAGTCAAGTTTTTTTTCAGCCAACATTTCAGTGACCATCTGTCACCTTTCTCATCGCAATTCTAGCTGGTTCACATTGTACAGCACAGGTGTCAGTGCTTATACTTGTAGTAGCATATGTACACAGTTACAGGGGACTGTATCTGCATAGTGTAATATATGTGTTGCTAACAGTTTTATAGATTATAAGCCGTGCATACAGCCTGTTGTTCTCTCCCTGTAGGAGGCCTATCATCAGCTGGAGAAGGAGAACCAGGAGGCCCATGAAGCCTTGAAGACGGCTTCAGGAGAGATCGCTAAACTCATGTCTGACCACCAGCATGCACTCAAGGTCAGAGTTAAACCTGCAACTTGTTTCTGCACAAAGACGGAAATGTTCATAGTATTTAGTTGTCATGAGTCCCATTGAAAACATTGAAAATTTGTCGTAAAACCTGAGCATGATTTTCCCCAATATGTACATGTATAGGCCAAGCCTAACTAAACCCTGCTTTTTGATGGCTTCCTGATATTCCGCCACCACTCTCTGAGTTAGCCGGACAAAGAGCTTGTGTACACAGGCTTCTGTAAAGGGCCATTAAATTTGCTTATACCACCATGACTGAATCTGCTACAGTTTTTTTTGTTAACTGATAGGCAGTGTACCCCAACACTACAGGTGCTTTACAGTATTATTGGTGATAACAAAACTGAAGTCAATTGTCCTTCAATGTTATTTCCATGTTTTTGTGTTTTAGCTGGAGCAGGAGAAAGTTTCCACTCAGCTGAAGGAACAGGACAGGGCACTACAGACACACAAGGCCACAGTGTCAGACCAGGTGGAACAACAGAGACAAGAGAAGGCCATAATACAGAGAGAAAAGTAAGGAAAATACTGTCAATTTCTTCAATAAAATCAGTATCATGATAAGCAAATACAACTTTTCTGAGACTACTTGATATTCATGTGGTTTTTATGTTACAGAAATAATATGACAGCTAAATCAGTCTGATTTTCATGTTCTTTTTTTCTATTATGTGGAAAAAGTGATGAACTGAAGTCCAAGATCTCTAGTCTGGAGAGAGACCTACAGCTGAAGGAAGACAAGTCCGTGGAACAAGTCAAGAAACTGGTGAGGAACTTCAATAACATTGTCGTATCTTTCCTAGTAAATTCTTTGAAAGGGGTGATTATCTCATGTACATAAGAGAAAAGTTTAGTGTCATTCCTAGGAAATCAACTACCGTAATAACCTTTAGAAAAATAAAGATTACTGACTGATACTGTCAACAGACAAAACATAGTGATATACACTCTCACCTAGAGCTGTGTACCGATATGCAGTACCGATACTGTACCGGAAAAATTAATTAGGTACAGGTCCAAAATACCTAATCCCTCAGTACCGGTACTGTACCTAAACAATTTCACACCAATTTTATGCCTATTTGTGACCTCAAATGTGTAAATAGCTGGTTAACAATGGGTCCCTGTGTAAGGACAGTGTGTTCATGAAAACAAAAACATCTTTACTTTTACCTATATTTTATCTGAACATTCTCCATAAACAAAAATTAAACCTATACCAATGTTTTTCTTGTTATTACAGGAGTTCAGAAGAGCATATACATTGGTCGAATTGTTCAGGTACAGGTTCAGGTCCGGACCTGTACCTAACCCTGTGTACCTGTACCTGTACCTGTACCTAAAATTTGTTTAGGTACACAGCTCTACTCTCACCAGATGTTTTCAAAGGAAAACATTTTGTTGATCATTGATGTTACTAGTAATTCTTCTAAGCTGTTCTCTTGTTAACGGCTTTCTTCGTTTTTTGACTGGAGGCAAAACACAATTAACTGCAATTACTGGACAATAGTTAGCACACGGGGCAAAGTGGGTTAAACTAATTAGTGTCTAGGGACTGTACATGTTGGTAATTCTGGATCAGAGTTGTACTGTGAAATAGGGATTGAAAGGCTTTAAAGGTACTTGCATGCTGCAAGTGGAAGTTGAAAGTTCAGTTGCCATGAGTATGTAAAGAACAGTTTGTAATACAAAATGTATGGCTCTACCACTATGCTCTATGCTTTTCTCATCATATGAGTAGTTTTTGCACCTATCCCCTGGACTATATGGACAAAGCAGGATTCAGATGCCCCAGGCAACAATCTCATCATGGGTGTGACAAATTGTTAGAAGCTACGTAGTGTGAAAGAGTGGTTGGACTAGTTACATGCCACACACAAGCCAGGGTCAACTAAAGCATCAGCACTTTTGAATATCAATTCAACTACACATGGTTACACTTTGAAAACATGAAGATAGATCTAATCTATGTAAGAACATTTTTAGTATCTACGTCATAGAATTCAAGATTCACTAGCAGTGTCAATTTAAGAACTAGTGAGATGAAAACAAAAAACATCCCCACCCTCTCTTGAAATGGTATAATCCATTAAATGTTAGCGTCCCCCCTAAGGGCCCTCTGTTGTGAGTTTATGTCAGTGTTTGTTATTGGCCATACTGGCACAAAAACAAAGAAACAACAACAATGTTTCACGTGGGAAATACCACTCCAATGCACCCCATTCTGGTGAAGAAACTCTCCAAGCAGGACTTTCTTAAAGTCTTGGATCTGCAGTCTCCCCTAGGCAAGAGTCCAAAGAAGAACAAAGAACATGTTTTGAAGGATTCTTGGAAGGATTTGGGAGAATCCCATCTGGGAGAAGACTATGTTCCACCAAGCAGGGAAAGTATGATGGACAGTTCAAGTGATAAGGATGACTCTAAAATAGAAGAAGGACTGAGGCCAAGTGTTCTTGATATGACAGACCCTTTGTTTCATGTCTTAGAAGAAGACTCAAGGAGAAGCGAGGAATACATTTTGGGAGAGAGTGACCAGAAAGATTTTGAAGCAAACACAATAAGTACTGACTTGGACACTTCAGGGCCAATGGAAGTCATTGACCTCAGAGAAAAGGACCCTGTATTAGACAGCTTGAAAACAGAAATCAAGATTTTGACAAGAGAAAAGAAACGCCTTCTGAAGAAAAAAGGAGGAACTACAAGAGCCAGCGTGCACAGGGTGGAAAAAACAGATTCCTCTCAAATTGTGAAAATGCAAGATCTTGTCAGAAAGAGTAAGAGAGAAGAAACTGAAGTGGTAAAATGTGAGGAGTACGTTTTGAAGAAAGCACAGCTTTCTCTTCACAAATACAAGTCTTCCTACACCCGAGCTCTTGTTCTGAAGATGTCAAGTGTTAGAGGAAAGACCATGGTTCAAACCTCAGACTTAGGAAAGGAACGTGACCCCATCACAAAGAGCTTGAAGGAAGAAGTCAAGTTGCTAAGGAAACAAAGAAAACGTTTGCTTGAACAGCTTAGGACATCGTTGTTACAAGGTTTCCTCTCCTCCAGTCTCAAGTTTCAATCCTACTGGACACAGGCAGACAGACAGTTTCAACAGGGACTACCCATGGCATGGTCTCAAAGGAGCATTGCACACAAGCTTCAGCAGGATACAAGTCTTACCATGAAGTTTAGGGTAAAGTTTTCAATGTTACAGTTTGAGTTGTCAAGCAAAATGGTTTCTCTTGGTTGTTGACTTTTTCTGACATTCTTTTTATTCACTTTCAGGATTCTGTCATTGAAACTTTGAAGAAGGAAATAGAGCAACTGACAAAGGTATGTACTTAACTATTTCTTTTAAGATAGTGCCATTTTGTGCACTTAACAAGGATTGCAGCCAAAAGTATCTGCCATACCTGTTAATACTTTGTTGAAAATTGCATTGATGACATTTTATCATTCATGTTTGTGTATACTAGATGTCTCTCTACAACTTGGTCAATCTGGTTAATAACTAACTAATCAGCCAGTCAAATCAATCACTACAGGAGAAGGAACAAGTACTGAAAGACAAGCAGAGTCTGCTGGAGGAAGTGAACCAGGCTGTCGATGGGATGACAGAGGAGAGACAAAAACTGCAGGATGAAATGCAGCAGTACAAGGTGGGGCATGCATCTTATCAAGTTTAAAATGTTGTCTTTTTTGGCAAAAATGTTTGAACTGAAAATATTCCAAAAGTATTTCTTGTAGTTGTGAAAGGTACTGTAATTCACTTTCTGTTCACGGTAGTAAAAGTTCACGGTCTGAGAAAAATGGACATGTTCACGGAACTTTATGTTCACTGTGGGAACTTTATGTTCACTGGTGCAGGAAAAAGAAAGTCCAGGAATTATTTGTTAACTGTACTGATAAGTTCATGGTACAGAAGTGACAGTGAAAACAGGGAACATAACAGTACAGTGAAAAAATCTGGAATTACATTGTACTACTAAAATGTTCTACTCACTGTCTTACATGGAACACGGTGTATGTAGAACTGCACGCGTCAAACACTTAGATTTTCCCATCCGATTCAAACCCTACCCCCCGTGTGTGCCCAGTTGGAGATCTCAGCCCTGTCCAATGCCAGACAGCAGGTGGAACAGGAGAACATGCGACTGTTGGAGAGGATGGGAGCTGTGGAACAACAACAGGTCAGACTGGAGAAAAACTTCTCTATGCTTCAATCATGTTAGAGCCTGGGGAGGAAAAATGCCAGACCAACATTTTAACAGAACAATGTTTGTTTTGAAATTTCAGCCTTTAGCTCTATTGTTGGTAGTACTAGTAACTCACAGTAGCAGTATAATGTTGCAAATTTTCAGGTAATTGTTCATCCCAGATTTAGTATTTAGATTGTTTCCAAACCATTTTGTGCAGGCATCCCAGAAGCAGGTTGAGAAGGCCATGGCTGAGATGATAGACAGCAAGAACAGACTGGCTTATGACAAGGGGAAACTACAGGTAAAGAGTTATACTCATTAACTCTGACACCTAATGTTGCAAAGTGCACATAGAAGGTTGACGTTCACATTCAAAGAGAGTAAGATTTGTTTTGGGTGGGATAATAAGATCGTAATGTTAAGACATTCCCCTTAGGCTAGTAAAGTTCAGCATGTTTGTACACATGCATATTTCTCTTCTAGTAAAGTAAACTGATCATGCTGTCATGATGCTGAATGTCTCCTTCTTTTGAAACAGACAAAAGTTGACCAGCTACAGCAGGAGCTGGAGTCCCTGGCCAACGCCCAGTCAGAGGTGGTGCACCTGCGGAAGGTGAACGCAGCTGTGGAGGCCAAGTTCAACAAAGCAGCTGCAGAACTGAACGCCTGCAGGATCAACATGCAGAGAACTGAGAGTCAACTCAGACAGGTGTGCTGGGATGCAGCTGTTAAATGTATCTTTGTCCATGAAGCTGTTTTATTACCTTAGACAAGAAGGTTATGTTTTTGTAGCAGTGTGTGTGTGTGTCAACAGCATAATGCTTCAGAAGGCAATGATGAATCATAATTATATTTGGCATGTGGGTCGGGTTTGTTTAGAGGAAGAAACAAAACGATTTTGGTCGACCCACTAGCGGCTTTCCTTGTTTGTTATCAGATATTGACAAAATTTGAACAAGTCAGAACTGTTAAAACTTTTCCTGTACTCACACTCACACTCACTGTCCGGTTTATCTGTACTAAATGTGAAAGTTGCTGGGTAGCTAAGAGAAATTCGTTTTAGTAGCATACAATTCCTTCGCTGAATTTTTACCCTACTACTTTTTGACATGTAGGCCCAGGCAGCCATTGAGAGGAAAGAGGAGGAGTTTGCCATGGCCATCAAGGCTAGGGACGAGGCTGTCAAGGAGGGTCAAAGGTTACTGGATCACATCGAGGCTGTGGAGGAAAGGGAAAGACAAAAGGTGTTCTGTTAGTTCTTTACTATTTGTAGTCAGTGTGAGTGTTTATATTTTGACACCAGGGGCAGAAACAAAGGTGTCATGTGGTATGATAGCTCTTCAGCACCAAGGAGAGGGATAGTTTTAGCTGGGTGATACCCCGTCATTAACCAGTCTTTGTAGTGTCAGTTTACAGCAATAACTTTAAATTTTTGGGCCATACTATTTCAAAGTTGAGCAGGATACGTCACTTCTGTCTTCCCCAGCTGGAATATAGAAAGGAAAATTTAAAACTTTTTCCGAGGTATAACCATAGGGCTGTACTGTTTCATCAAAGTTGAACAGGATGCTTTATTTCTGTTGTTGACGTCTTACCCAGTTGGAAGGCTACAAGAGAAGCCTGTCGGAGGCTAAACAGGACAGTACCCGTGTGGCCAGTACCCTGGAGGGAGTGATGCAGTCCCACACACAGCTGCAGGACGCTGTGGAGGCGCTGCAGACTGAGCTGGGCAGGAAGGACAGCGAGATAGCCGCTATGAAAAATGAACGGTAAGGACAGGAAGAATTTCATCTGTAGCCATGCCTAAATGTTTTTTTAAAAATCAATGTAATTCGGTTGTATACATTGCGTTGTATTCTGCTGCTTGTTTGATTTAATGATAGATATTGGAGTGAAAATTAAACTAAAGAAACAGTGGGGTGTCGTTCTTACTGGTTGATATTTGACTCCTTTTTGACTGGTTTGAATTGCTACTAGGTCTTCTTGGAGACTACTAAACATGAATTATCATTTTATGATATGAATTTTACACAATATCAAAATAGGAATTATAGTAAGTGATAATTCTTGGTCACTGTGGTTTGTGATGTTGATTTTGTTTTGTGTGATTGATGAAAAGATGAAGCAAGGTCATTTTTTAACCAAGGATATTAATATTTTAGTGCTTCGTACCATTAACAGTATTGTTGTAGATTCATTTGCTATTTGTTTCTTTACATCATTTGTTGTGTTTTACAGGCAGCAGTTCCAGAGAAACATCAGACAGCTACAGGGGGAGGTAGAGGCCCTTCAGTCTCAGGTAGCAGAGATGGAGGCCATGGAATCAAATGAGGTGAACTCAGCAACAAAGCTAGAATTAAAATGTTTCGTTGACTCCCCTGGTCAAAAGAGGTGTTTTTGTTCTGTTAGTTCCTAACAATGTGTAGGCAGTCAATGTGAGTAATTTTTGACACCAGGTGATGGAACAAAAGTGTTATTTTGATAGTTGTTTTAGAGAAAGAGAGGAAAGTTGTGGTTTGATAGCTTTTCAGCACCAAGGAGAGGGACAGTTTTAGTCGAGTGACAAGTTCAGTAACAAGTGTTTTTGGTGCCAGTTTATAGCAATAACAGTTACTTTTCTGTAAAGCATTCCATATTCCAGTGATTTTGTAACCTCTTCTCCCCATAATTTTTCCTCATATGTGTTGTAAATGAGGTATGTTGACAGAATTGACCAAAGGTTAAAAAGCTGCACTTCTATTCCAAACACATAGGTGGAGCCATTGAAGTTAGCACTTGACCAGACCAAGCAGGATAACATGAAGCTGGCAGCATCTCTGGAGGGGATCTTACAGTCCAACTCTCAGCTACAGTCCAACCTGGACAAACTACAGGATCAACTAGAACAGAAAACCTTCCAGCTCGACAAGATCAAAACCACCAGGTAACCAACCAATGCCTGCTCTTTCTGAAGACACCTGAAATGTAGAGCTGTTGGTACATTTTGTGGTTTCCTTAGATAATGCACAACCAGGTCATAGCAGTTTTATTTGTAGACAGAAATAAAAGAAAAATACACAGAAACATTGTACGAAAGAAATTGAAAATTACTCACATTTTCACCCAAGTAAGACATAAAATAAGGCCACATCGACTTAATTTTATGGATGACATCCTAAGAAGACCCCCAAACTAGTGCGCGCGGGCGAATAAAAAAAAATTCCGGCCAAAAATAAAAATGCTACTAAAGCACAGGAATACATAGCTGGTATTGTGAATTTGCGGCAGTACATTGGGAACTGTGTGTATGTACTGAGTTCTTGCCGTCGTGGAGCTTCGGTAGCCTGGGTGCCATCCTTCAGAGTTACCACCGGCTCCGTACTGTCGCTAACTACCATGGACTCTACCCAGGCCTAGAGCCTCGGAGGACGTGATTTTTTTTTTTTGAGAACAGGCGGATGTCATCCATGAAATTAAGTCGGTGTGGCCTAATATTTCTGTCAAAATTCATCTTATATATAACTATTTCAAATTAAACGTATCTTAAAGTTTGCATTATTGTCTTTACATCAGGAGCCAGGAGAGTGAAGAGATGAAACATGAGGTCAGAAACTATGAGGAGAGACTGGAGAATCTCAAACAGCAGTTCAACAAGGAGAGGGAGACAACCAGGAAGAGACATCAGAAAGAACTGACTGAGGTATTTATCTGAGGACATGTAAAATTTAGTTTTCTGACATCAGAATGTGTGGGCTGTCCAACACTGACCCTCTGGACAGGGTCACTTGGAGATGTGGAGTCCAGTCTAGCTGACTGCTGCCCACCCCTGAGATAGGGAAGCCGGCAGCAGAATAAACAAAGTCCAGATATGTATGTATGTTATGTGTGACAAATGGACATGATTTTGACTGGCTTCAATATAGTATTTTTACTCCCCCAACAAATGATACTTTTCTGATTGGGCAATTCCAGGGGGAACTGCATTTGCATGATCGGTACTTTTACTTGCCCTAGGCAAGTGGACTTGTCAAATTCTGCTTGTATAAAAAAACAAGCAACTTGCACTGCAGCAGTTAAACTGTGCTATGCTGCAGAGAAACGTTTTTATTATTTTATTTTGTTGTACAATGTGCAGTCAATCAGTTATTTGTTTCTGGTTTGTACAGCTGCGGAGAGTCCATGAGGAGTCGTTCTCTCGTGTTTCGGACCTGTCACGGACCAACAAACAGCTGCAGGGCAGGATAGACGAGCTGGAGCAGCAGCAGGCCAGGCTGAAGGACCGCATCAGGAGCCAGAAGGTCCAGCTGGACCAGCTACAGAAGGAGAGGAAGAACCATGAACACACGCAGGGCAAGGTCAAGGTAAGAACCATGAACACACACATGGCAAGGTCAAGATACTGAGGATTCCCTTACTGACTAGCCACTAAGAACAGGCCTTTTCTTTGATGTTTTAGAGTCCCAAATTACCTGAAGCTTGGGTATTAGTCTGTCTGCTATTAAGAAAATTGTAGCAAACTAGTGAAAAAAGACAGGAAAGGCTGTATCTTTTCACTCAGACTGTTGCATCCTACTATGTCATGTAGTAGGGCTGCGTACCTAAACGTAACATCAGGTACAGGTACAGGTACCGGTACAGAGGTTTAGGTACAGGTCCGGACCTGTACCTGTACCTGAACAATTTGACAAATTAACACGTGTTCTTCACTTTTTCAATCATGACACAGAAACAATAATAAAGTGTTGGAGGGAAGGGAAAATGACTGACCTCTGACCTGATTTGAGTTTGTTGACCAATCACAAGCCTGGATCAGCCACACTCTCGCGATGTCTCGTGAGACTGAGGATCTCAAATCAATCCGACGGTGTTTACGTCTTTTCCAGTGCTAATTTTTCGTCTTTGTGGTAGGATTTACCTATCTTTAGTCATATACATGGTGTAAACTAGCCATTTCGGTATATACTCGTTACGTCATGATCCGGTATTTTGGACCTGTACCGAAACGATTTTTACGGTATTGGACCGGTACAGTGTACCGGTCCGCAGCCCTATCATGTAGCTAATCTGTCTGTCAATTTGAAAGAAGAAATACAGTGACTGTCATGATTGTATAGACCAAAACAGGCAAAACTTGGTTAACTAAACAACATGTCATGCCCCCCGTGTTTTAGACCATACAGGCTGAGCTGGAGTCTTTGGAAAAGGTGAAGAATGAATACATCAGCAAGAACAAAGAACAGGTAGAACTCTTTCTCTTCTCTCATTGTTCATCCAAATGTTGATAGTGTGTTATACAATGTATGTGTGTCCTATTACTGGGACAATATGACAAATTCATTCTCTTTTACAGGCAAAAACTATCAGTAGTTTTCTGGAAGAGATAAACGGTCTGAAGTCTGAACTAAAGGCCCTGGCAAGGGCACAGGTGGAGGCATCAGAAGCCGTGAAGTGAGTTTGTACTGATCCTTTTTTGAAAAATCTGTAAAACCTAAAGCCCAGTATTTTGTGCATAATGTACAAATTAAGTCACACCATACCAGTAACAGGTATCCTTTTTTTTTCTTTCTGTAGGCATCAAGAAGATGAACTTGAAAAGGAAAGAAAAAGAACAGAAAAATACAGGGTGAGTAGTTATTCCTTTGCACTAATAGAGTCCATACATGGGTAAGATTTAGTTAAGGTGTCACATTTCTTTTAAGGTTATGTATAAGTACACTGTATTTTCATATCTGAAAGACATTAATTTTCAAGCTTTAATACAGTTCTATTGGAAAAGCTACAGCTTTACCATTTTGGTCCTGTTAGTTTTGATACTGGCTGTAAATGATAATACATGATAGCCATCTCAAACAGCAGTCCAACACCTGTTTCATATTTTCAGCATAAAGCCAAGAAGATAGAGGGCAAAAGAAAAGACATAGAAGACAGACTACATGCTGCTAATAATGAGTCAATGGAGGTAAGACATGCCATACATTCTTTTTACATGAAGTAAGGACCGGTCGACCATTATGTTGGTCAGGATATTCCCATTGTATCAATTGATATTGACCAAAAGAACAATTACTATTACTTTATAATGTATGGTCCATATTTTCTTTTAAATGGTATACTAGGTATCCAAAAATCTTCAAGATGCCCATGAGTGGTTCAAATCCAAGTTTGACAATCTTCAGACAGAGTTGGACAAGTCAAGGTGAGATCCTCCATCTTTAACCCTTTTCCTCCTAATGTCTGTTATAGGCACTCAACAGGGAAGATGTTAACCATCAATACATTATCAGAATTGAATTTTCAACATTGCTTAGTTCTTGTAGTAGAGGAATTTGCAGTACTTGTGAGTATAGTATGTTTGTATGTTATGGGCAATATCAAGCACATCCTCAAGGGTACCGGTGATTACTAAGCCATGAAGGTTTTGACAAGAGATTTTTGTTTCTTTGTTTGTTTGTTGTGTAGGAAAACCCAGGAAACGTTACAACGTGCCACATTAGAGAGCAGGTTTGCACTGCAGGAGGAGAGGCTGAAGGCTGATGAACAGGCAGAGAAGGCCAAACAAATGATCAGGGTAAGTAGAAACAAAGTACTAGTTACTTCCAAACCGACAGAATTTCGTCTATTTTTTTAGAAAACTATTTTTACCTATTTTGTATTCATAACGTCTGGTGGACATGATTCACGGTACATGTAACAACTTTGTTTTCCTACGACGTGATGTGGTGAACAATATGTGTGTCAGCCAAATCTAATCCTCTATTTGCTGAGAGGACAATCCAAACCGACAGAATTTCGTCTATTTTTTTAGAAAACTATTTTCACCTATTTCGTAAAATCTTTCAGAAGCAATATAGGGTTACGGATTTTGTTTTAAAGGAAAAGGAGAAATTTAGTTTTGAAAAGGAATCTTCCTTTTTATAGGAGAGCAGAAAGAAGATTACGAGACTTGCCGACTACTTGGAAGCTGACTCCAGGGACCGTTCCAGGGACACAAGTCAGCGAGACAGATTTGACCGACTGGGCATCTTATGACACTGTGTAGACACAAAAGACTATTAACTGTTTTAAATGCTCACAGTGTTATTATATTATAGTACTAAGACTTGCAACACAAGTTCTTTTTGTCCACTATTTGGAGAAGCAGTGTATGTATTTTTTTCTTTGTTTGTGCTCCTAGATTTTCATTCAAACATTTTGTATCCTATTATTTTTGTATCCTCAGAACTTTTGGGTATATGTATTGGTGGCAAGTTAAAATAGATGTTTTTAGAATCTATGTTAAACATTGTATTTTGTATCAATAAATATTTGGTCACCATAATATTGGGAGATAATCCCCCACCAATTATTTTCCTATGGTATATACATGTATACTCCTTTGATCAAATTCGAAATGGAATTAGTTCCTTTATTTTCTTATTGTCTAAAACAGGGAAAAAGTGAGAACTATACAATGTAACTTATGCAACTCTTCTCAACTGTGTGAAAAATTGTACATAAATTACTGTATCTAAAATACAATGAATTTTGCAATAAATAAGAATTTTCAAGATGTTTTACAAGGCTATCTCATACAATGTAATACTTTAAGTTGTTCTAAACACTACAAGATGTGAATTCTCGGAACTGATGAGTTTCCAAACCTTCAACATGACATTCAATGAATGACAAACCAAATCAAAGCATACTATGTTCTTATACATTGTATGCGAACATTCAGTTCCATTTACAGGAGGTTACATGTAACTTGTTTTGCCTATAATTTGCAAGGTTATAAAGTAATGCAAATGTTTGAAATAGCAAAACACCATATTCTACACAAGGGGAAAATTTTTATCATACTATGCCAGTTCAGTTTAATCGTAAAATCTATATTTCACTCAATGCCCTGCAACCAACAAGTTGTGTACAGTCCAAAAATTGTATCGTCTCCTGTTATCAATTACAATTTAGTCATTAGCAGCATTCAACGTGTAGAGCATTCAAAGACTGTTCAATTCACCCTTGCTTGAGCGAGAGTTTAACTTTAAATGTCCGTGCGTCGCACTTTAGCGGGAGGTGGCCTGTCATCTCTGCGCGATTCGGTAGAGGGCGCACTTGAGCGGTGCCTCTCCATAAACCCGTCGGTGAACCTCTGCAGTCTCCTCAGAGCGTTACCATCCCCTTGAGGGTCAGGCGGTGGTCTGTTAACACATCCAGCGGCAGGTTGTTGTCCTCTGTTCTGAACAGGTTGCAGACGGATCCCGCTTGATACGTATCCCGTGGTTGCTGCTGTAGTTTTACGTTCGACAGGTTTCATGACCAATGGAAGCCTGAAGGTACTAGCATTGGGCCTCTTCAAAACTGACCCTAACCGGAACATAGCTGCAGCGCCACATGTAGGATGAGCCCGCTGAGAAACCGCACCGACCGTTGGCCTCGTGAATGTCGGAGGTGATGTGTAAGTATGGCCCGTACACACTGGAAGAGTTGGCAGAATTACAGTGTTGGAGGGATGGGATACAACAACGCGAACGCCTCTGGTTTTCAGTTGAACAGCGGTTTTCTGATGATTGTTCAGGAACAGTTGCCCAGTGGCTGCTGGTGTAGACTTTGGAATCACTGTAGCGGGTAGGGGGCAGGGTTTCTTCGAGAAGTTGACGTGACGAAAACTGGCAGGTGTTGGACGGTGGAAACCTCCACCGTGCTGAGTGTTGGTGATGACCGGCGGTGCCCGGACAGATCCAACCGGGACTCTAGATCTTGTGAAACTGCGAACATTTGCCAAACGGCCAGTCGTCGCTATTGATATCGGCGTCGTAATCTTCAAGTGCCGCACGGTTCCTGATGCCCTGGTCTTGGGAACAGAGTCGCCGGACCTGGGGACTTGACGCGGTGGCTCGCCAGCTTGTCCTTTCCCTTCTCGTGGCCTTTGGAGAGACCCATCGTCTTTGGTCGTCGAGCAGGAGTTGTCGATTTTGGCTGTCTCGGAACCTTTTCGGACGCAGTAGTCGATGATTTCCTGTAACTTATGGCATTGGCAGACTCGTCCCTTCTTATAGTGAAGCGTCGTTGGATGGCTGTTCTTTAAGTTCAGCGCATCGCCACCAGACTCGACAGTACAGGCACTAGTCTGGTGCTTGGTGTCAGCGGTCGACAGCTTTGGTTGCTCTCTTTCTCCGTATTTGTTCTTATCCCTTGCAGTTTCTTTTGGAGGAATTTCTCTTTCCCGAGTTTCATCTCCATATTGGTTGCCTTGTGTCGAAGGTTGAATCAGTTGTGATGGGCTGGCCTTCTTGCTCCCTTTTGTTATGTTTTTGCTTTTCTTTGCTACGCTCTTTTCTTCCGTCAGTTCCCTCCACATCTGAGTCTGCACGACTTTAGGCCCTTTGTTGACCCTTTCTGCTTCGCTGACTTTTCTCTTTCGATCATTCGTTCCAGATGTTGAACTGAAGTCATCTCTACTGGAAGTTGGTTGGCCCATTTCTTTCTCAGAGACTTTTGAGGGTTTCCCAGCAGTAGTGCACGGCTTTGCTGTCATTGTCGGAGGTCTAGGCTGTAGGCGAAGCACAATTGTCGAGGGAATCTGAGAGTTGGGCAACCTAGTCTTCTCTTTATCTACGCCACATCCCTTTTCTGAGGGCTTTGCGTCCTGTACGGTTGGCTTCGACGATCTGGCTAACTGATTCGCGTTTGCTTGTGGATCTGAGATTAAAAATCCCAGAAGAGAAGAAACTTTAGAAGCGCTGGAGGATGTCGCCGTGCGAGTGATAGTTGGTGCCGTAGAGATGAGGACATCAGGATGTATTTTGGCCGTAACGGTGGTTGAAGAGTCGTGCTTTTGATTTACGTTTGAAGACTTCTTTGTCCACTGGTTTTGGAATTGAAGGGCCTGGAAGGGGATTCCAATGGCTGTAGCACGGCGGGAAACTTCTCCAGACTGTGTTGCTAAATCTCCCCTTTTTGAACCTCCAGGTTGTTCTCCCGTGTTTGGGACTGGAACTCTTGTAGCGACGGCAACATAGGGCACAGGCTTCATCTTTTCAGAACCTTTCCCTGAACCGTCTACACCTTCGCCTGTGCTACCGTCAACTCGAACAATAGGGATGTTAACCACCGCAATCGGTACCACAGTTCTCTTGCAGTCCGGACCTTCCGAATGTTTCAGCGTTTGTGCGACAAGGGAGGCTATCATCGCTCTCTGTGACTTATGTTGGCTTGTCGCACCTGACGCCTTCACGACTTCTTCGCTCGGAACTCTCCGCACGTCGTCTGATGGTTTGTCAACAGTAGACGAATCTGTCACTGGGGTTAACTTGGTGTTAGCATTACGGTTATGCTCGGTTTGTATCATCAGTGTTTTTTCTTTCTTCGCCGTGGCTTGCTGAAGATTAGCGACATTTCTCTGTTCGACCAGTTCTGATTTTGAAACTGCATCAATGTTCTTGCATGATGAAGACTTGATATTAGTATCAGGCAGTGCTTCGTCACTCTGTGCTGCAGAATCGAGGCTATCATTGGGGTTATGTGAAGCCGTGGTCTCTGCAGAAGTTGTAGAAGACAGGTTCACCAATGCCTCCATCGCAGCCTCCTCAGCCCGATTGAGTGTTGCTGGTGGAGCGGTATCGGAAGGAGGCAGCCGGCTGACAGGTTCTACCGGACGTGACGAAATTATACCTGGCATTTCCGGCTGTGACGTAGACGAAACTGACGCACCTTCACGCTGCCTTTCTGAATCCTTCAGCCTAATAAAAGAAGATGCACAACTATTTTCTTCAAGAATCTTGAGATACTCAATGCACTGATTTGTTCAATCATAACTGCATATCAAATTTGGCAAATCGTTTTGCAAATGCTATATGTATAAACTAGAGATGTTAAAATGTGTAATGAGGTTGGTTATGTCTTAAAAGTTAATGGACTACCTGTGGTCCTTAGCTCGTCTGTTCTGGTACCATATCCGTACACAGCCCTCCGTCAGCCCGGTAGCATCCGCCACGCTTTGGCGACGCTCCTTGTCAGGGTAGCTGCACTTCTTATACTCTTCCTCCAAACGTTTCAACTATTAAAAAGAAGAGAAGAAGAAGAAGAGATGATCACATACAATGACTCAAACGCCTGGTGCTATTAATTCTTCGTGGTATTAAAAATATCCCTAATTTTTGAACTGAGTAATGGATTTTTTTTAAGTTAGTTGTTCACCTGTTGTGCTGAGAAGACGGTCCTGGCCCTACGTTTTCTGTTGTCCATGTCTGGACTCGATGGGTGGAAGATCACACGGCAGTAATCAGGCATCGGGCGGATCGCTGTCTTACCGGGGATAAAGATTCTCTGCGGAAGGATACACACAAAATGAAATCCTTTCATGAAGTCAATCTTGCATGGAGGAAAATGAATTGTTCTACTTTGTACTGAAAAAATGAACGACAATGAGTCAAGGTACCTGTGACAAAGTTCTCATTTACATGTAGATATGTAAATCAGCTACCTACATGTACACACCAAAAATGATGAAAATAAGTTGTTCCTATCTGGACTTATTGGTTTTTGAAGATTTCGCCAGAAAGTCCCCTGCAGTTCCAGAATAAGCTGCTAGGGAGACAAAACCCACACCACTTATTCCTGTCAGGAAGAGCTATCTGTCACCAAAAAGTCCAGACCATAGCATGTTCATGACAAAAAATACAAAAAACGGAAGTTCTGCTGCAGTACCAAGGCCATCCACAAGGAGGCCCATATTTGACCTTGGCCTTTGTCTTCCTATGACCTACCAACATATCAAATATCATCACAATCCATAAAGGCGTTCTGAAGTTATGCTGACTACAAATGTGCAGAAACACAAACACACAGACAGACAGACACACACACACACAGACAGACAGACACACAGACAGGCCAAAAACAATACCTCCATTTTTCATGGAGGTAACTACAAATGATACAAATAACTAGTTCATACTTTTGGAGATGAAACTTGTGCCACAGTGACCGGGGATGGAAGTGTTGGAGGTTCAGTAACTACAGTGTTCTCTGGGCTGACTCTGGGACCAGGAACTGCCACTGCCTGAAGAAGGGTGGGCGCCGATGTAGAAGGAACCAAGTGGTGGTACCTTCTAGGGAGGACTTCATTCACAACCTGGTAACATTGAATATTGTTTTCTGTCAATCAGGTTTGCAAAGTAATAAGAGATGATTAACATCTCTAACCACGGAACGGCTGTTAAAATCAGACAATGATGAAAAATTGCACAATAACATTTCTAACGAAAATACTGTTCAAGAATATCAGTCAAAAACATGATAATTATACCACAGAAGTACCTGCGGCTCGGCATCTCTCAACGCCGTGCACAGATCTGCCAGTGTTGAGATGGCGCTCTTGGTACGGGAAGCGAGATCATCGGAAGATGCGGGTGCTGAAAACGTAAAATATATATTGTTACTATTAAATAGGTATACTGTGATAATAGTAAGCTCTTAATGTACATGTTTTCCCCTATCGTTGTAGAAATACCGTTGCCGGTATCTACTACATGTTCATGTACTTCTACACCCCAATCATCCAAATTTGCAGTTCGACCCACTAATATTTTCCCATTTTCTGTATAATGCGAAGATACCCTTTATGACCTAATATACACGTACATGTACATGTGATAATTTTTGTCTCGTCACTAGATTAGATCTTACTTTTGCACACTCTCACGTACCGTTGGTCTCATCCTTTCCAGTCTGATGTCGATTTTCTGCATTTGCAGTGTCCTGACACGTGGCGGCACTTGATTGGTCGACGCCTCTCATTCCTAGCAGTATTTCAGACGCTCGCCTGACTTCATCCGGGGGAGTAGAAGAACCCGATTTGGGACGATTTTGTTGTTCCTCAGCGGTCGTGGTAGACGACTTCATCTTCGCGACATCTTCAAGACTTGTGAGAATCTTGTGGAGAAGTGCTTTCGCCGTGTCTCCATCCAAAGATGAGATGTCTAGGTTCTGCAGACGTTCTGTGGCGCTGGTGCGTTTCACCTGGCCCCCCTCATCAGTAGATGTTCCCGTCCTTCCCGCCAGAACTGCTTTCATAACGCACTACTGAACTGCTTCTAAAACAATTCCTGTCGACTACCTTTTCCAAACCACAAGGTTGTCTTTGTCCAACTGAAAATCTAGTAATTTGACATACGTAACTGTGGTAATTACCGTTAATTGTCGATTTAAACGGGCGTTCCATTTCCGCGCGTTCGAAGAACCAGTTGTTCTGTTCGAATCGAGGTTCTTATGGAACAAATCGAATTCGAAGGTGAGAATGTCGCAAATATAGAAGATTACGTATTTTCTATTGTTCGATTGTGACCTTATACGTGGGGGTCATTCATACATGATCAAAACGTCACCGTGGTAGCAAGGAGTAGCAAGGAACTATGTCCTCGGGACCAGTGACATCGTCGCCCGCACCACAGTGTGGTGCTATACGGCGTCTCCCACTTTTGTACTTATTCAGCGCCAGGGATTTTTCTGTCTAGTATGTTGTCAGCACAAGAAACAGATAACACAATAAGGAAAACTGACTTTCTGAGGTGGGAAGTTGTGAAAGTTGGTCCTTTATTCATGGCAATAGAGTGAATAGACATATTTTAAGTCTGATCATTGAGTAAATGATTCCAAACAGGAGAAATTCTAGTACTAGTAACTCTATTTGAGGTCATACATGGGAATAGAAAACCGGACTTTCAGTCAAGAAAGCTAGTATAATACATGTTATCTATCTTAAAACATTACTAATTCTGTGTTATGACATGTCAAGTGTAAGCCTAAAGAACATAGTCTACCGAGCATATCGTCAAGTGATGACATACATGTATATAAGGTAATTTGAAGCTGTTAAAAATCATCTTCATACAGACGTAAGTACACATAATTTGGATTCTAGGCAAAAGATTTTCAATTTGGAGATAAGATTTTCTCATTAAGGCCACACCAATTTAATTTGTTGGTTCTCGGATTTTTTCAGAAAAAATATGAAGCGACAGGGAAAAAAAAAATAAAAACAGGTCTAGGCATCCTATTATAGGCTTAAATGCTATGGAATGAGCCATGAAGTCAACACAAAAGGCTGGGTTAAAATTTAAACATTGAATTTTGAACTTTTAATCAAACCACTGCGATGATAGTTGGGAAAACTGTAACAACTAGGAAGAAAATGACTTTCCTCAACTGTTGGGGGCAAAACATGAGCATTTTTCAGTTGATTCAGGACCAGAATCAATTTTTTTATTTGCAAATCAGAAAAAAAACGAAGAGGCGAATCCGAGAACCAACAAATTAAATTGGTGTGGCCTAACTCGACAGTTTCTGAAGTTATAAAGACTTCTAATGTCCCCTTCAAAGTCCTGCCATTCATTCAAACACGTCCAGAATTAGACATTCAAACCATCTAATGATACCCATTATAGACAATATTGTGGCCAAATCATCCCAACAGCCAACTGCCATATCAGTGACAAGCTATTTTTCACACAAAGGGACCTTCATTTATGGATAGTAACAGTGCATACACACCATAGTTTTGGACAATTATTATCTATACATTCTAGAGGCAAGTGTTTGTAGTTGCCACCTGGACATTTTTACTTCGTTCAAAGGTTTAAACATATAGCATCAGGCATTGCAGGAGCAGTGCCACCTTATCAAGTAGCCAGTTTTATTCACAAGTTTCCTAGTCTGTGGCCATGCATATTTGTACCACAGTACTGTACATCTCACATTGTCTCACAACACCCTTATCCATACCTACCCTACTTGTATTGTTTCCCCTTCCCCTTAATTTATATATTTACCATTCTTGCTCCCTCCAATATCAACCCCTACATATCAGCTTTGAGTAAACTTCCCTAACATTACTTACTTACTTATTTTCAGCAGTCTGTCTCTGTCCTTAAAGTGAAGTAAAGCCCTTTTCATGCAACTTGATGCAGTCCCTAAGCATATCTGTACTTTTCCCAACTGGCCCATACAATATTACAATGCTGACAGAGGTAACTGTTCTGCATACAACAGAATTGCATGCTCACATAATCATTTTCATTCCCACAAATATTAAGAGTGTTGCATCATGGGATAATTATAGCCACTTCCTATTGGACACTAAAACACCAGCCTAAAAGCTGAGAGCTGATTGGTTAAAGTAAGGCTTCCAGGTTGATTTCCAGAGCTGCACACGGGTTGTTGAGTTCAAACTTGGTGATTACATCAGGGTGTAGAACTCCCAGCTTCCCCACAACCTGAGCTTTCACCACAACCTCAGCACAGCGACCGGGGAAGAAGGTAGGATCTGAGGGAGGGTAAACAAAAACAAAGAATCTGTATCAAGATGTCAACAATTGACCAACACATGACTACATAGTTTTCAGATTTTATGGAAAATTGTTACAGAAATATAATTGAGAATTCCATGTTCCCTAGAATTACATGGCATTTCATGCAACAGTTGAAGAAAATGTTTCAATACAGCAGCTCTAACATACTGACTGCAAAGTTTAACTCAAGTTCTGATCAGCTTTTTAGGTAATGGAAAAAAAATACAGAAATGCAAAAATAAAACATAGAGATGCAAATAGAGATGCCTGAGGCAGGTGATTGGGAAGCTTGCTAGAGCATCTCCAAAAATGCACTAAGTCTTTTGGATGCCCGTACGGACTCAATTTTTCAGTCAACATGATTGAAACAAACTTTAAGTAACTATATTATGTATACTTCTGTATAGTATGTATTCTAAATACTTTTTTGGTGTCATTTGGTCTTAAATGTACTCTTTAGGATGAATAACTCCAGACAACTGACCGTCAGCTGCCCTGATGAAGTAGCCACTCCCCTCCTTACTGTAGGGAACCTCCAACAGCTGCATGAACCTGTCCAGCAGACCGTGGATGATCTCAAACCCGGGGTTCTTGTTGTAGTACACGGCACAGAAGTGTCGCAAGTTCTTCGCACCGACATCTAAAACACAGTAGGAAGAGAGAACGTTCAGTTCAGTTTTATTCAAAATCGATTTGCATGTACATGTTTTGTACATTCAACAATGTCACATGAAATAGGCAGATTTTCACACTGCTTTCCATCAATTTAAGTAACAGTAATCCTAGTATTAGGCCTCTGTTTGCATACAGAGCATTGAGTCTACTTTTAGTTAATGCAGTTATATTCTTTTCTAAAGTGAAATCAATTTTCACACTTTAGAACAATAGACTGTTTTTTGACTGCCAATAGTCTGTCATTGTCATTTAATCTTTTCTCAACTAGCTACAAGCATGGCAATTTTTGCTAATTTTGGTATGCGTAACAAGAAATTTGACCAGAAAGGAATGATGAAATTAGAAAGAAAATGGGGAAAAGGTGTGACAGATACTGGTTGAAAATTTAACTTGTCAAGGGGCAGTACTAGTATCTAACAAACCTTTGTCCTTGTCCTGTAGAATGATATCTGAGATCTCAAACAGTTTCATGGGAAGGGGCATCTTCTTGTTGGAAGCAATGGTTTTCAGAATGCCTGGCAGCAAGGTTGTTCTAGCAATCTGGAAACATAGCAACAGTTACTGTGGTTACAGCAGTAGCTTCAGTATGTAACCAAGAGTTAAACATTATGAAACTTCACATCATAATTTGTGTAAAGTAATCTTTATGAAATATACATGTACAAACACTGTATAATAAAAACATCATCTTGACTGTTACTTTGTAACTTGTAGTCAGTATGTAAAATGTAAAAAAATAAATTAAGTGGAGGGAAACTTTGTATTTCTCACCTGGAATTCTAGAGTTTTGGGGTTTGCGATGTGAACAGCACCAGAGGACTCGATGTCTTTGTTGAGTTTCCCTGCTACATCATCTCTAGAACACTGGAAGGCAACACAGAATCACTACACAAGCAACTACATGTGAAAAACAATGTATATATACATTTCATAGCACTACATACATCATGGAATTATATATCTTACAGAAAAGAACAGAGAATTGAAATTATTAAGTCTTACTCAAAGACATACATTCACACTTGTAACTGTACTTGAGTGTGTATTTTGTGTTCTTTATTTGCAGATAAAATATGTTACACAACTTTTGATTGGTCAGACATGGGTTTATGTAATGATGTAGATGCTGTCTCACCAATGAGAAGGAGAGAACCTCGGTGAAGCCGGCAGCTGCAATGTCTTGTCTCAGGAGGTCTGTGACTTTATTTAGCCCAAACTACAGAAAAAAGGCGATCATGACAAATATTGATTCCAATCTAACAAAAGTTGTACATTGATACAGCTAATATCATAGTGTATTTTGCATGCCCAATGCAACACTTACATAATCAACCATATTACAAATGGTCTTGAGCACTATTAAATTATGTCAAAGTTCTTCCTTTTCACATATTTATTCCATCCTATCCGATAAAAAACTTTTCTGCTTGGCAATTGGGTAAGAATTAATTAGAACCATCTTAAATGATTCTATTTGCTGCTGGGCCTTCCCCTCTAAATAATCTTTAATGCAACAAACAATTATTATTTTGTGTAGTAGGTATGTTGTATAACATCAGAGATCTACTGAGAGACTTGCCTGGTCTCCTATGGTGTTGGTTTTAGGGAAGGTCATCTGGATGTTGTTGTAGCCATATCCTATAGCCACATCCTCCATGATGTCACACGCATGGATGATATGTGAGGAAGGTTAAGGAAACACACATGGCTTTGGTAGACAACTTATCATTATAGAACTTTAAGAACATTTATTGCTGGTAGTGCCAGTGAGTTCAGTAATCTAAGATTAACTCTTATCCACTAAAAAATGACAGTTGATATTTCTACCTGTCACTTTCATTAAAATTTGTGCCTGTAACAAGAAAGGATATCATATCTGGTGGGTGGGATCTCAACTTTGACCTTTGACTCTTCCACGACCTCTGATGATAAACACATCCTGGTCAGCAGTTTGGCTATGGACTCAGGACTCTCACTACAAAAGGCATAACATATGTCAGTAAGGACATATTTGTTTAATTATCATCCTGAAAGAGTGCATTTTCAAAATGTTACTAAGATGGAACTAATTCAAGGTCAACAAGAATCTTTTAAAACAAAACCAAGTAGAAATGACTAACCTTATTCCTACACTCTTGTTGATCCAGGCCACATCAACAATCTCCTCTCTGTAGGGAAGAGCCTGGTGAAAGAAAGTAGGAAGTTCAAAGAGAGAAAGATGGCTCCACCCCTGGGGTGTGGCCAAAAATGTTGACTGTTGACAACCTCTTGTTAGAAGAAACATACAATGTACATATTATGAATAACATGTCTGTCATGTACAGTAAACTCAAATTTAATTTGCAGACCACGATGTAAGAAGAAGATGTATTATGCGATAAGAGATGTGGAATAATTATGAATGCATCATTAAACATCAACAAAACTGCTGACAGGAATAAACCAGCAAATGAATAAAAGACACGCTATGACTAAGATTATTAGACTCCGTTCAAGATTCAAGATTTACGATCACTTTATTGAACATTGCAGTGTATCACTGAATTGCGCCCAATTTACACATTTTAAAAACAATTCAATACATACAAACAGTATTTTACATAATAAAATGTTGCATGAATGCTGTATTTTTCGAAACATCTTGCTCTGCACTTACAGGATATGTAAGCTTGGTACCATCTGGGGTGGTCACCTCCCCAGCCTCAACCCTATAAATAGTTTAAAAAAAGGAAGGAAATTAGCAACTTTGAAGGAAAACTTCTCATTGACAAACAAGAAATTTAGGATTTCATGATAATTCTTCAAGGCCATACAAAATTAGCAGCGTAGAGTATTTAGCATGAAAGTTCATCTGTGTTGGTATACTTCATTATGACCAAAAGGGCTAAATGTTCTAGCCAACACTAAGTAAATTGGGGCTAACCCAAATTTTGGCCAACTCCGTCCACCTTGTTCACTGAATGGTAGCATAGAGTACTATTTGTGAAAATGCTAGGTTTTTGCAAAGCCTGGTTGAACTCACATGAAAGGTGTCTGGCAGTACTCAGAGAAAATGGTGACCAGAGAGTCCAACACCATCTTAGCTTTGTGCAGGTCTGTGGCCGTACACTCGATGAAAACGTTCTTGGTGTTCAGGGTAATCTTTGAATGTTCACCTATGGAGATTTAAAGAGATGGAACAATGTAGCATGTCTGTGTAGTTAGGACCTAGTAAGTTATGGGTGAAAGAAAAACATTGAAAACATCTAAATTGTTACATTTTTGTACTATAAAATGAACAATCAAAAATGCTATAGCATACACTCATTCTCGGAATTCAATTAGTTTTAAAGATATCACTACATGTACTTCTTGATGCTTTTTCACCCTGCAACAGATATTGGTATGTTCCTTACCATTGATAATTGGTGGCATGGACAGGACCACACCATTCTGGTCATAGATGATGGGGTACACAGGTTTGTCTTCGATAATGTGCAGGAAGTGCTTGAGATGGCTGTCAGACTACACAACAAAGGAGAAAAGAAAAATTATAACCAAAATCATTCATACATGTCTAACTATTGCTTGTGAAGAAATTTTAATTTAATACCACTGTATACTGTAATTCCTGATTTTTTCACCGTACTATTATGTTCTCTGTTTCACTGTCACTTCTGTATTGTGAACTTATCATTACAGTTAACAAATAATTCCTGGACTTTCTTTTTCCTGCACCTGTCGCCACCGTGAATATATAGTTCCGTGAACATGTCCATTTTTCTCAGACCGTGAACTTTTGCTACTGTGAACATAAAGTGAATTACAGTTTTTCTTGCTCACTCAGTCTGAGTAATTTGTATTTCAATAGTAAAACTTGAAGAGAATTAATAAACAGAAAAGAGAAGAACTTCTCTGACCAACCTTGTACAGTTGCATGAGTTCCACAGCTGTGTACTCCTTGGTCTGGTTGAGAGGCTTGAACTTGATCTCTGCTGGTGGCTTTGCGTTGTAGATGAAGGGACCTTGGATGGTGTCAAGGTCATGGGTTCCGATGGCAACCAGGCTCCTCTTTCTGTGGGCATAAAAGAAGCATATCATCACCTTGATTGAAGTACATGTCATTGTTCAATATACTGTATGTCAAAAGCTTCACAACTTGAGGCATTGTCAAAACTAAAATACTCAATTACTGTATTATCATGAAAGTTCATCTGTGTTGGTAGTTACATGTTTAAAGTTAAAACGTTTGGTCCAACACAAAAAATTCTCTCACCTAGAGCTTTCAACCAGTCACTCTGGTCTTTCTCAGTAGACTGGTCAAAAGCTCTAGGTGAGAGAATTTTTTGTGTTGGACCAAAAGTTTTAACTTTAAACAATTACTGTATTCATTTGTTAATGAGGTATTAGTGGTAGGAGTAAGGGCAAAAAGGAGCAAAACAAATTGTACTCATCTTGACAAACTTCAGCCATAATTCTTGGTTATTTCTTGAAAAATCTAGACAACCTTACATATTAAGTTTATAGGGTTAAACAGCAAGGAAAAAGTAAACAATGATTTGTATAACTACCAAACTGTTGGCATTACCTGCAGAGGTTCTGGTGCAGTTTGTCCTGTAGGTCAATGAAGCTCTGGTACATGGCCTGAGTAAAGTTGACACCCCGCAGTACCGCACAGACTGCATGGGGGCGCACCTGCGCAGTCTGCATGTACATGGAAACAACATAGGAGTCAAATTTGAACATATCAAACAAACATACATGGCAGCTACTGTACAATCATGTAAATCAACAGTGAGCAGTAAGCAGTTTAATCTATTTGTTTTACAAGGTGTTTACACTTGAATCAACTGTTTTTCCACACATACTTACATGCATGTGCTTACAATCAAAAAGGAAACAAACAAGAAAGTGAAACTTCACAGCTAGTTCCTTTAATAGAACACTCACATGCTTTTCACATGCTTTTTAATTGAAACCTCAGTCACAAAAGTTCCTGATACCAGTTACAACCTGTTGGCACCAGGCTCAATACAACAAGGACCTTTTGACGACAACCTGGTTACATTTTGCTAAGTTCTCAGTGTTAGTCAGGTTTGTAACCTCACTTCTCAGGCACAATCTAGGTTAAAACGTAGATACTAACTAGTAACTACATACGGTTATGCATTTGTTTACTACATTCTATTGTATTTGTACAATTGTAATAAGCTGTAAACCTGATGTTGCTCACTTTGATAATGTGTTATGGTCAAACCTAAAACGCATCACCATTGACTTTAGTAATTCAACATCTTGCGAATCTCTCTTTTCCAGTTTCAACACCTGCCATGGCCACAAGAGGGGATGCCAAAGGCACTAGCCTGAGACTGTTTGGATTTAAGCAGTCTTCAACACTTAGTATGGCTTTAGCCCTATGTATAGGAATACAAGGTTAGTTGAATTTTGTATCATACAAAGTGTATTAGAGACCCCCATCTTAAGATGTTGAGTGTGAGTATGACTATGAGTGTGTATGTATGTGTGTGTGTGTGGGGGGGGGGGGTTGTTGAGGAAGTGAAAGTGAAAAAAAAGCAGACTGGAAGGTCGCAAAACACTTCCTCAGTAGTATTGCACAAAAATGTGGACAGGAAGTCATTAATTAACAGTTATGAATATGAGGAAGTTGATAATCTGTGCTACAACCTGTACAACTCTATCTTGTACATTTGTTGTGCTAACTGATGAGATTCTATAACAAAGGAAAATTTTGGTTAATTTCAGGAACTTCATGCTGCACCATTGAAAACCAGACAGCTGACTGTTCCAAACGTGGACTGAGTCAGATTCCAGGCAATCTTCCCAACAATATTACCAACCTGGACCTGAGCCTCAACAACATCCAGGCAATACAGAACAGCTCCTTTTCTTCCTTATGCTTTCTGGAGGTTCTCAGCTTAGCAACAAACAGTCTGTCAGTCATTGAACCAGCTGCCTTCTATAACCTGTCCAGCCTGAAGACATTGTTGCTAGCAGAGAATTATTTGTCCTACCTGCCACCTGGAATTTTTGCTCCACTTTCTACTTTGCAAAATCTTGACCTTTCTACCAACAGTCTGTCCAACATCCTTCAAGCTGACATTTGGAAGGGGCTAAATCTCAGAAAGTTAGATGTTTCCAACAATCAAATCATTAGGGGCAACTTTATACATGATTTTGCTGCCATGACTTCACTGCGTGTGCTATTACTGTATGGCAATGACATTGTCTCTTTGAACTATTCTGATTTTGAGCCTTTCGTCTTGCATGAGTTTGATTTACTGGACTTTTCTGACAACCCAATAAGTCACATAGACAAATCTTTCTTCACTCTGTTCAGTGCTATACACACTTTAGACATCTCTCGCCTTCCTATCTTGTTTTCAAACTTACAAGAGGCTCTTGAAGGTTTGACTGGCTGTAACATAACAGAAATCAGATTAAAATTGTATGACATACCAGTCATTCAAGCTGGTTCCTTTGATTGTCTACAGAACACAAGCTTGAGGACATTGAATCTTTGGTTTACACAGATTAAGGAAATACAAGACAATGGTTTTCAAGGGTTGAGCCATCTTAAAGATCTTGTCCTTATAGGAAATCACCTCCCTGAACTGCCTGGGTTAGCTTTTCATGGATTATCTAGTTTGCAGTTCTTGGATCTGTCATTTGTGCCCCTGAAACAGATTCCAAAGGCTGCATTATCAGAAGTATCAAAAACTCTGAGAAAACTACACATGAATGTAACTGGTGTTCGAATAATCCACCAAGGTGACTTCAATGACCTAACTAACCTGAAATTCTTTTCTTTGACTAGGGTCACTAATAAACTAGAAATTGAGCCATTTGGTTTTCAAGGACTTCAAAACCTAGAGATTCTCCAGCTTGATTTCAATTACATTACAAATTTGAAAGACAATACATTTGCTGGACTGGACAAGCTAAAGATATTGACATTCAGAAAAAGTACTTTAGGTATTGTTTCAAGCAGGGCATTTGCAAATCTAACTTCACTAGTAGAGCTGGACTTGTATGGAAATGACTTAATTCAATTACCACAGTTATTGTTCTCTGATTTAAGATCTCTTGAAGTGTTGAATATTACAAGAAACAAGTTATACATATTTTCTTTTGACTTTCTAGACTTTACTGGTCTAGTCAGCATTAAGCACATTGATCTGAGTTACAACCAACTCCATCTGAAAAGTTACACTTTTAGTTTTAAGTTCCCTGAAAACAATATGCTAAAATCGCTGGACTTGTCCAACAATGATCTGTTTTCCCGATCATCCCGATGTTATGGTACGTGTATATTCTTTAAAAAACTACAAAACTTAACAGAGCTAGATCTCAGCAGAAACAAACTTTCTTCACAGCAAGGCTTTGGAGAAATATTTCATGGTCTTGTATCTTTGACAACTCTAAATATGAAAGAGACAGGAGAAATCTGGACTAGTTTTTCAAATAACAGCATCTTATATGGCATGCCCAATCTAGAGGTCATTGACCTATCCTTATCTTCCATAACATACATCCCTGTGGACTTGTTCAAAGTTCATGCTAACCTACGTATTGTTGACTTGTCTTCAAACACAATAACGTACCTTCCGCAGACTTTGTTCACAGCTAACTCCAAATTACACAGTTTATTCCTGTCTTGGAACCGTATCACTGTGTTGAATGAGTCCACTTTTGAGACCATTTTACCAGGGCTTGAGACCCTGGCCATCAATGATAACCCATTCTTCTGTGACTGTGAGATTGAGTGGTTCATATCCTGGTCTGAGGATCACCCTTCTGTAGTGCAGGGATGGACAGATGGAAGGTACCAATGTAACACTCCTCCTGATCTTCACGACACAGATCTTCAGAAATTTCATCCTGATTGTGCCTCTCACCGTAACCTCTATGCCTGCACCTTAACAACCTCTTTCCTTTTCCTTTACATGCTCTCTGCCATCCTTGTGAATTTCTGTAGCGGCTACTTTGCTTACATGTGGTTTAGAGTTAGACTTCATCTCCGTGGATATGAAGAAATTCGCGATCAACCACGGCAATTCAGATACGACGCCTTTGTGGCACACAGCAGCAATGATGAAGCCTGGGTGTCCCGCGTGTTGTCCCCCATGTTGGAAGGCCGCCGTCCGCGCTACCGCTTGTGTATCGGAGAACGTGACTTTGTTGGCGGGGTGCCCATCTTACACAACATCCGAGACGCGGTGGAGACGAGCAGGAAGACGGTCTGCATCATCACCAGGAGCTTCCTGCGGAGCAACTGGTGTAACTACGAGCTACAGATGTCCCAGGGGAGACATCACCTGTTCGACCCGCGTAGGGTCAGCCTGATTCTCGTGTTTCTGGAGAACATCCCGGACCGCGTCTTACAGCGCTACCCGCTGCTGAATAACATCGTCAACAGGGACACCTACCTACGCTGGCCAAACAACCAGCAACATCTGCCTCTGTTCTGGGCCAGACTACGGCAGGCACTAGGGGAACCTCTCGGAAATGAGTTACTAGTACAGGAGGAGGAAGATATTGAAGAGGATGTAGTTTAAGTTGTGTATTTGTTAGTTTGTGTCACCAAGAGGATGAGAGGCAATTAAATATAGTTAGACTAGGCCTGGATAAAGTGTGTGAAGAAAGACAATACAGAGTGCGCCCTTGCCAGTGTTAACCCGCTGGATATAGGGCCGCCTAGAGGTGTAGAGTGAAGACCAGTACTACTAGCCGACTGCTGCACACCCCTGTGGCAGGGACACCAGCAGCAGAATTACCTAAGCTTAAATGTAATCCGTAGTAATTGCTGTGTTTTTGTTGATCACAAGATGAAACAGATTTTGTGTAAGCCATAAACAAATCTCGAATCTTACCGCTTCTTGAATAATGAGCTGTTGCATGTTGCCATCGGCAGGGGGGACAGCCTTGTATTTGGGCGCCTTCTGTCTGTAATCAACAAAATTTATTTAGCTTATAATTAATCAATTAAGTCTCTAGTGACAATAGAAGCACAAATGCTAGGAGAACAATGTCTCTGAAGGCAAGAAAGACACAGATTGGTACTAAGGTATAACAAATGATGTAAGTTGTGATGTAATAATTGTGATAATACAAAATATCAATTGCACTGATGGTTAATAGAATGTGATGCATACAATCATCATGTGGATATATATAGTAATGTATATAGAGGCTTCAATAAAGCAAGTGTCTAGCTGTAGACAATGTGTATACTCACTTTTCTTGGAAAACCAGTAAGGCTCTCACCAGACCTTCCAAGCACAGTAAGTCATATCTGTAGAATAAAAGAGAGAAGTTTTATACTCCTGTCTGACCATTCACATATATGGTCAGACAGGAGTATAAATCCCACCTGCTAAAAAATTGCAACATGATGTAACCCTATACTAGTTACCATGGTAACAGATGGCATGGTCTGGTTCAGGTCATTGATCAGGTCAGTGTTTGGAATTAGAAGAAACTGAGCAAAAACAATATGTTTTCCTTCAGTAAACATGAAAAGGCAGGCAGTTATGACGAAACTATGAGTATGAAGATAGTTTGGTCAGATATTTCACCTGTTGGCAGGTATCTCTATCCTGTAGATGATGGCTTCAGAAGCTCCCTGTGCAGTCACTCCCTGCTCCTTCTCCAACATGGCCTTCTCAGAAGTCTGTGCAGAGGAAATAAATATATCATTTGACGGTCTCCCCTGATCAACAACCTAATGGTTTCATTAGATTGACTAACTAATACATATGGCATTACTGGGCTCAAAATCAAAAGTTTTGATTTCAGCAATTCTTGATTGGTAATACTCAGCCTGCCTTATGTTTGAGATTTAGCTTGCTGAATGGTAACTTGATAGTATTTCATCTGAACAAGCTAAAAAATTCTTCAGCAAATTTGCAGATATGTATTTTGATACCTGCATAATTGTACAAAAAGTACATTTGATTAAATTAATATACTAGTACTTGCCACTTCATCCAGTTCCAGCCCATAGTCAAACATGAGCTCATCAAACTCCTCTTCAGCTGGAAAAATAAAGAAGACAGGCTCTAATTGTAATATTTTCATTGATTAGACAAATATCATATAGCAACAGAATCGATAAATTTTGCACAGCAGGCAAAAGATAAATGTTACTAAGGACCCCGCCCACTACAATGTTTTAATACTCGTTATAACAATTAAACTAATCAAGGCAAGGCTTGCTTCTTAAAGCAAAAGCGTAAGAATGATTATACAAAGCATCTATCTCCGTGCACTGAAGCATGACGTTTTCTTTTCTATATAATTATAAAGTTTAAAGTTTCGTGATCAGCCGGTATGGGAGGGGGGCGATCGCTCCACATGTTCATGCCGGATGCATGCACCAACTTCAACCAGACGGAGGCGGTCTACTCACTGTACGTCCTCCTGAGCCTCTCGAAAAGGAGATCCCTGTTTACTCCTATGGTTGGCATGGCTGCTCCGTACCCCTCTCTTCGAGATCACTTTCAGAATTGCTGGAAAACGGGCAAATTTAAAGCCAGTGTTGTTCTTTGCTCCCCGAAAAGCGAAAAGATGATGAAATGTCTCGCCGTTTCTCGTGCAAAAAAATCTCGCGAGATTCTTTTTACGATACCACTCTTCATTTGGGGGACAAGGTTTTAAATTAAAACACCCATGAGAAAAAAAACTGATCATCAAGTATTTATGTAGTTTTAGAAAAAAATAAGGTATAGAGCATTTATTCGTAAATAGATGTCCCAATATTTGGCCCAAGTTATCCAAAGAGGAGGTAATAAAAACATAAGCTGTCCGCCCCCTTTTGTAAAGTTGACTAATCTGGCGGGAACCTTTGACCTCCCATATCTGTGCAATCTGTGCCCCATTTACTCATTTGTCATCACTCCCGAAGTTTCTAAGAGCCATTTAGGGAGTAAAACTTGTCACAATGGCCTAGAATGAGCTCCTGTAGAGATGAGGAAGACGCCAGGCCCATCTTAGGGTCGATAAACGCATCAGACAGGGACTTTACCAGGTGACTATTATACAGTTTTAAATAGGATTTTGTAAACAACGTGTTCAAAAATATTTGCTGTAGCACAAGTAAAAGTTTGTACAGTGTAACTTGTTCGTTGGACCTGTTTGATTTAGGTCAAAGACCAAGCCCCATCTTTTTATGAGCTCAAAACAGATCAATATCAATTATTCTAATGATAGAATTATCATTGCTATAATATTTTGATTAACTTATTATCAAAGTACCTGTTATTGATAGATTGTCTATTTAAAAAAGTATTATTAAACTCATGTTATTATTACTATTGCCATTCTTGGACCAAGCAGAGCTACTCAAAGGTCTTGTTAATCACATGGATGTCAGTCATGTAGGTCACAGAGTTTTCGTTGGTCAAACTTTTGTCATTAACTTTTGTCATTAAAAGTTTTTATCATTCCAGTGGCAGTGACTGCCATATAGGTCTAGTGAACCACATGTATATAGTACACTGAAATTTTTTATCATTCCAGTGGCAGTGTGCCATCCTTTAACCAATCAGAGCTAGAGGAACTCAAAGGTCTGGTGAACCACCTGGACCGGACGCTGACCACCCTGAGACACAGACTGACCAGTCAGCATGGCGTGACCTTTCAGAGCGGAAGCAATCCGTCACGGACGTGCTCAGAGAGCTCCAGCTCACAGATCGTGGCATGGTGGACCAAGTGGTCCTCGCCGTGTATCGAAAGGATCACAAAACACCTACTCATCATCACACTTCTGTGGCAGGTAGACATTTTGTAGCCTGACTGAACCTCGCTTTTCGCCGGCTCCCTAGTTAGTCCGCCTTGGGTGGCGGACTATGTAGGGAGCTTGGGTTTCACAGGCTAGATATTTTGTAGATATATGACATTTCATAGCTAGTGTTGCATTCTTGCTTCTGAATCAAATCCTGAAGTAGTTAGTTGTGGAACCAAATAAAGAATTGCCTTCAGGAAGGTGACAGACGGTCATCAAAACATATGTTGAATAAACCTCTTGGTTGTGTAAAAAGAGTCTCTTTATTCAGTGACTTACCAACCTGATCAAAATTTTCATGGAGGTCATTTTGGAACCCCAAGTAAATGCTACTGGCTAATGTACATGTATTTGTAATATTATTCATTTTAGTAGTAATGCATTTGTAATGTGTCAAACAGGATCTACACCAAATATGGATATTAATAAAAGTATCATCTTTTGAACAATACATGCTCATGATGTTCTCCTATGTAAAATAATGAATTAACAACAATAGTTACCAGTATACATGTATGTATCAATCCTCAGATATTTCAATGTTATTATGACGGTATCATTGATTTATGTTGTTTCTCCAGTCCCTGTATGTTGGGATTCTGTCCCTTATTGACTTGGCACATCCTGCTGAGAACAATGACATCTTCATTGCTGTGAGTTGATTTATTATGATATGTTCTTTGTTAAAGATGGACAAGGTGTACAAATGTAATGCACATGCACACTGTGATAGCAAAGATGTAGTACTGACTGTACTGACTTGTTTTATGTTTTCAAAAGCACCCTTTTTCAATTGTTAATTCAGTAAAACTGTGGCTACTAGTAACCATGGTGGTTGTTTATTATAGTAGTATTTGATAATCTGTGTTATGATGTATTTTTTTGCAGGGAATAGTTATTATGATTACCTTCCAGTTGGTGAACCTGGTCCTTGTCATATATACATCAGGTAGGCTATACTGGTGGATATTGGTGGGGCAGGGTCTTTTTGTCCAGTATATTCAAAGTTAAAGAAAACCCTACTTGGCAAACATTTTCATTCAGATATTTACATTACTTACATGACTGCTAATGAATATTTGTAGAAGTAAAATTGCAGCCCTAGTGAAAGTCCCATTCAAATTAAGTCCTATTTGTGTGCTCATCAATTGTAAGTAAAGTTTAATGATTATTTTGATATCTAGGTATACAAAATGTATGTACTCATTAGTCAGGATGTAACATCCATGTCCATAATATCACCAGGGTCCATAATATTGCCACCTTGAAAAATAGTGTGCTTAAAGATATTTTTACTGCAACATACAATGTACCCTAGGTATGTACATTTGATGTGTGCAGGAGTACATACCAAAAGTATGTTGCAGTAAAAATATCGTTAAGCACACTGTTTCGAAGGTGGCGATATTATGGACCCTGGTGATATTATGGACACGGATGTTACATGTCAGGATTGTAGTGATTGAGGCGGGAAGTTTTGTGTAATTTTTGCAGTGAAGCTGACTCAGCAGCTGTATGAACACAAAGCCAGCGCCTCGTTCCTGGGCCAGTCTTACCTGTCCACAGTGCTGCTGTTTGCTGGGCTGTACACTTGCATCTACAGGCTGGAGGTGGGTCATGCAAGAAAGTTATAATGTTGTTTTTTTTTTTTTTATTTCAACAAAATAACTGTAAATAATACAAAAGTAAACTGAAAAGCCAAGACGGCTTGTAAATAGAAAATAACATAAAGAACGGAAAAGCCTCCCATAAAGCCATTACTTTCGAGCTTGACGAAATGAAAATAATCTTAACAATGACATAATAACAATAACAGAAATTATAATGAACACAGAGTTCCCCACTTACCCCGATGCTTCTCCAGCTTTCCCCTCCGAGATGCAATAAGACCTTCTGTCTTTTGAAAGACAGATGTTAATATTTTCAAAGACTGGAAGTTTAAAGTCTTAAAATGTCGGGATCGGAAAATGAAAATCTTACCTAATAATATAATGATATTATTTAAAGGGGATGCATTTGTAGAAATATCCCCAAACATAACTACAAAAGAATTTAATTCTAAATTTGCACGAATTTCTTGTTTTAACCAATTTTGTTACGTTATTCCAAAAAGCTATCACATGAGGACATTCCCAGAAGATATGTATGTAAGATTCTTCATCACTATGGCAGAAGGAACAGGTACTGGATTCGATTAAATTCCAAGTTTGTAATACTTTGTTACATGGTAAAAATCTATAAAGTAAACGGTACTGAAAATATCGGGCGTTAGGGTCTATAGTACATTTAGTTAATGTTATAAATACTTCTCGCCATGGTATGGGCCTATCAAAATAATAAAACCATGATAACCTTACTTTATGGGCAATTATAACATCATTTGTATTAGCCAGAAAGAAATTATACAAAAACTTATTAATTTTAGTATTTTTTAACCACATATAATTTTTTTGTAATGGTAAACATACAAGCTCTTTTAAATGATTACTAGTAAGTAAAGTTTTCCATCTTTTAGGTATTGCAGATATAAGTTGTTGATATCGAAATTGTTCACAACTATTTGGATACAGTTCACAAAATTCAGCATACGACATAAAGTTTCCATCTGTACCTAACAAGTCATTTACAAAAATTATATTTCTATTAAACAAAGCAGTTATAAAAATAGGCTTACTATCAACAGTAATACTGGAGTTATTCCAAACTATTCCAAAGTTATAATGTTTATTCAAGATGAAATTTTGCAAAAATATTGTAATTCCTAATCACTTTCTTGGTACTTTTTTTTCCACCATTCTCACGGTCACTTTTGTACTGTGAACTTAATATCATTACTGTTATCGAATCATTAGTATTAGTCTTTTGCCCCTATTTCCCTCTCCCGCTACTGTGAAGATTAAGTTTGAAGATTGTTTAAACCGTTCTTTATTCAATATTATTTAGACAAAATATATCAAGATAACATTTATATTATTCAAAGTCTACTAAAACCATGGGCGATAGGCCACCGAGTTTTTGTTGAGATCGCTGTTGCTTTGTTTTATGAACACTCGTATACTGTGCACTCCGTACAAGCTTAAGATTCCCGATAATCATACACTGAACACAAACACTATGAACACGGTCCGTTGAAAGGATCCGAAGAGTCATGAACTCAACACATAACACCGTGAACACTGTCCGTCGAAAGATTCCCGAGAATCATACACTCATCGCATAACACCGTGAACACGGTCCGTTGAAAAATTTCCCTAGAATTCTCTGTACAATGAACCATACATATATAATACATACTGCTGGGTACTTGGTCCGCTGAATCATACAATAAAAAGCACACTCATTACTCAGCTGTTACATTGGCGTTCAGGGTAGCGCAAAGGCCGACGGGAATAGAACAGGTTTCGCAAACTCGAATGCGTTCGCAAAACCGCTGCTCGACTCGATAGAACCCCAAGCCGGGGCTAGCGCTAGCGGTGATAACTTCAAAAAGATGACAGGGTAGGAAACACCTACCCGTGAACTGCGTTACCAACTGGGGTGGCAGCAAAAATGTGACTTAGAATCACGTTCGGTGTGAAGTCCCTGCCTCCCCAGACTCAGAAAACAACGATATAGTACATTTTAGAGATATTGGGCACAACTACACTTTCCAAATCTCATGCCTGGGAAACATATGTAGAACTGAAAACATGTCGGTGGGGTTTGTGGACGTGTTTAGAGTACATTTACACATAGCATGTCAAGACTCTTGTCGGGTGATGTAGCCAGTTGTGTGCGTTTACATTTTAGAACCGCGCGGGAAATGTGGGCCTATCGTGCGTCTGATTGGCTAGCGATGATGTCATTGACCTGTACAGCAGCGACCTGGTAACGCAGTTCGCCGGAAATTGGACTTTACAAAATGCTTCATATCTTCTTTAAAATATGGTATCATACCCCCAAAAAGTTTACATGGCTACTTAGTTACCCCTTGATTATAGATAGTATCAAGACTTTTATTTTCCTTATGGCATTTCGCAGAAAATAGGGTCTTTTGAAATGGCATTTCGCACCTAGTGTATACTAGTACTAAGTACCTAACCAAGATGAAGCGTTCGGAAGTCGCTGTTCGGCTCTCGGCAATCTTCGGGAGACTTCGGTATCTGTTCGTATGGTTCTTTGGAATCCTCATCAGTTTGTGACCGTGTTCAGTGTACGTATGATTCTCGGGAACCTTTTAACGGGCCGTGTTCACGGTGTTATGTGTTATGTGACTGTATGATTTTTGGGAATATTTCAACGGACCACTGTATTGTGATGGCAACGGGCTGAATGAGTATATGTTGTTGAGACACAGTGTATGTTCTAACATGCGCGAAACAATAATAAGGATTTTATTACACTGTAAATAGTGTGTTGGAATAAAGTTTAACGTTTTACTATGATTACTACCAACACAGATGAACTTTCATGATAATAAGGATTTTATTTAATGGTTTACAAAACAATGTAACGTTACATGTATTGTTAGATCTCAACAAAAACTCGGTGGCCTAGCGCCTGTGCTAAAACTACACACACATTTTTTTACACATTACATGGTACAAAAAAGTTCCGTGAACATGACCCATTTTCCTCATTCTTTGAAATTTCGCTACTGTTTGAAGTTCTGTGTCTTTTTTTTTTAGATTAATTTTATAAACATGTAAACATATTTTGTCTTTATTCAGCCCAAGAGTTGGAGAGCTGTCCATGATGACGATGCCCAAACACCAGAACTGGTGGTGGTTCTCTTCATCAAGATGTTCTTCTTCTCCATGTCCACTGGAACTCTCTGTGGTAAGTCAGATTATGTTCCCACTTTGTAAATGTACAATCACATCCAAACATGCAACTTCTCAAGCAAGAGAAATCTGGTTTGGTGAATGAAAATGGTACAGCTTGGAAATGGTACAGCTTGAGTAGTACATGACATTGTACAAAATTGATTGATTTGGTACATGTTGTCCATACACTACAATGTACCTGCCTTTTTTTATCACAGGTGCCAGTGACATTGTTCCATTGGAGTGGTTCAACTACCTGTTGGTCAGCGTTCAGGTCAGTAAACAATTAACTAAGCTTTCAGCTAATAAGCTCGGAATATTTAGTACCGAATCTAAAAAGGAGTACGCAAAAAAAAAACAGTTACTTATTCGAGCAACAGTTACTGGATATGATTTTGGAAATAAATGGCTGAAATCATATTCAGTTGCTTGAGTAACTGTTTGTGTCATATCTTACTACCTTCATCGACTTAAAAAGGAATAGCAGCTACCACAAATAATTATTTTCTCAATGATTTTCTTGTCTCTCCCCTTAGATGCTGCTGAGTTTTGTGTATTTTGCATCCATCTTCACCATGGCATCAGGCATGCCCACTGGTCACAGTCCTGTCATCATGGATCTACAGGTGGACTCTGTGGCACTGACCGGAGAACTGGACAGGGTGGGGAGACCTCGCAGCCATAGTCTGGCCACATCATATGCACGTGGTAAGGCCTGTTTTCTATTTTCAAGCTTTTAAAATGATACAGCTTTTAAGTACCCTGCCCGATACTGTCTGTCATTTGCAATTGTTGTCATAGCTGCATTTAGAGTTTAGTACTTGTAACTAGTATTTCTAATATTAGTTGCATTAAGTGGTGTTAAATCTGGAATCATTGAAACATTAGTCTTACTGGTACCTATCGGTTTGATCTATGCAAGGCAGAAAATATTTAATTGTTACAACATATTTGTACATTGTTTGAATGTACACTTTTGAATGTTCAGCAATTTTGCAGCTTTTGGTTATAGAATAATCTGTCATGGCAGTGAGCAAATGATTGGAATTGGGAATGGAGTAAATTGTTCATTGCACCTCCTACCCATCTTTTTCTAAAAAAAGACTTCGGATCAGCCCTTTGAAGTTGTCATTTTGAACAGTAACAGCCTTAATTACTCAAATGTTTGGCCTTATGTTTCAGAAGTGACTTCTAGTCTCTTCTCTGGGAGGGAACAACTGCAGTGAAAGTCAAGAATGAGTCAAGATAGCACAAAAAACGTTCTTCATCCATTGCCGATCTTGCCAGTGCAAGGCTTCTTTGAAAGCTAGACTGAAAAACATTTTCTTTACATATGTTAACAATGTTTTGTACAGTGTTATTTCCAAAGGTAGTGAGAGTAGAGCATTGAGATTCAGGTTACAAGGAACAAGCTACATTTGTAATGTTGTCCCCAGTAGTGCCCTCTAAGAGGTGTGGATGGGACTTTTTCAGGGTATGAAGCAAAAGTTGTCAGACCAGCTACAGTAGTTACATTTATAAGTAAGTGACTGTGGCAAAAATCAAGAACTGGTGGTGCAATCCAGAGCTGTAATCATGTGGAATACCTGTTGCAATAAGTTTGGTATGATTTTGAATCCTAAATATATCACGTGGAAACAATGTTAAAATGTTGCAATAGAGGTAATATTAATTGTAGGTACCAACTGAACACAATAGAACAACTACTAATACTCTATTGTATTAGCAATATGAGCTATACTCCAACAGAGTCTTATATTCCTACTACCAAATGTGCAAGGATAACTTTAGATAAGGAGAAATAGTTTTCTTCTATGCATACCAAATAATGTAATAATTCATATTGAAATAAATAAAATACACCTTGATTTCATACTTATTTGTTTATCTCGATTTGCCCTAAATCCTGTCAAATGTGTTGTGTAGTAATATTTCTTGACCTTGGTAAATGTACTACATTCCCCCATATTTCTACCCTAGCTCACATCTAAAATTCTTCCTGTCTTGTATGTAGCATCACAAAAACCTTTCCTCACAAAAGACACCTGCAACAACAATGGTATAATCCCACACCAAATTACAAATGTCTGAGTCTGACTGTCCCATTCAAGTCATACTCAAGTCAGGAAAAGAATTAGGTTATTGTCCTGTTTGGCTAGCCTCAAACCAAACATCTATTACTATAACAGAACCTAATGTTTTTATTACATGCCTGGTTTTGTGACAACTTTAATGCATACATTTTACTACACATCTTACTTACTACTTTTCCTCAAAATATTGGCAGGTTGTCCTTCGGTCCCTTTTTTGTCCTACTGAAATTCTACAGCCCTTAAACGCCTGTCCCAGACTACTTTCTTGCCACAAAACACCTTCCTTTTAATCATCCCAATTTTCTCAAGCACTTTCCAAGTGAGCAGCATGCATAAAGCTCCCTTTGTGTCTGTGGCTTAAATATTTCATGCCATGCTATGATGATGTATTAATTATTCATCATTGCAACTAGTCTCATGATCACTTCCACTCTGAAAAAATTTTCAAGGCTCTATAATTTTTTTGTGTGCAGAACTAAGAAAAACTTCAAAAATTTTTTAAAGTGTTGCAAGAAATTTTTTGTGTGTACAGTATGTTTTGGGAATGTGGCATGCCGGAAAAATAACATTTTTGTAACAGACTGACAAAAATGCTAACAATAGTTATGAGTACTAGCTAATCACTATGAAGGTCTCTAATCAGTCTAATGGGAATCGGGACAATAGCAGGGATCTGAAATATTAATGAGGTGGACCTAAAGATCCTGTTTGTTCACCCATCCTTGTATCACCATGGCAACTAGGTACACTTAACTTGCACCTATCTAGTCATTCAAGAGGGTCCCAGTAACATTCGTTCTAATATCTTACCAGTGCATGGAGTATCACATGGTTTTTCATTGGTAGGTGCATAATAAGTTGCCTGAAACGTCATAGAAATTCCATCAGACACAAGACTTCACCAAAGTGCGCCACCGAGAAAGAAACGGCCGGCAGTGGAAAATATGTGCATCTTTTGAGCAAACCCTCTCTTCTGTTGTGAAGGGGAAAGTTATACTGTTATAAGATAGCAAGGGACTTGAAGATGCCGAGGGGGGGAGTTAAGCGGGAGACTTTGGGGAAGATGTTTTGGCTGAGTTTCCTCAAGGGTGTGGTGGTCTTCTGTGCGGTCTGCCTGCTTGAGTCTCCTCTGGCCGATGGAAGACAAGGTAAGGCTGTTTCTTATGTTGCAATGTACAATTTTTCAAAGAACTTCGAACAGTTAACACTTAACATAATATCACCAGGGTCCATAATATCGCCACCTTGAGAAATAGTGTGCTTAAAGATATTTTTACTGTAACATACCCTAGGTATGTAATGTTACATTTGATATGTGAAGGAGTGCATACCAAAAGTATGTTGCAGTAAAAATATCTTTAAGCACACTGTTTCTCAAGGTGGCGATATTATGGACCCTGGTGATATTATGGACACAGATGTTATATGATAGTGGAGCTGGATAGTGGATTTCTGGGATGAATAAAAAATTCTGCAGTTTTACCCAGCCCAGACCCTTATTTGAAGATTTTTTAAGCCTCCCATAGATTGGTTAATTTTTTTGAATATATTTTTTTGCAGGATACCGTTTGCCTGACAATGCTGGGACTGAATTTCTCCTGGCGTTTCCACATGGCAGTGGAGGTGTCCATAAGGCACTCATCCGAGCCACATCCTACCTGGACACCACTGTTCAGATCTTCAGACTGAACGATCAGCAAATTGAAAGCAACATTACACTCAGTGTAGGTATATGCAAATAATTTAGAAAGTCTAAGCTAGAAATCTTTAACCAACTGCAATTTAATGTGCAAAGATTGGGTGTAACAGATCATTCGGTGTAATATAGCTAACTGCCTCTGTGCCACGTGCCAGCAAAGCTGGTGTGTTATGCCGAAGTGTGGTTATACCGGCTATACCAATACAGACTGATACAGATACAGAATCTAGCTGAAGGGTTAAAAGGAAAACTTCATGTTTTTTTAATCATAAGTGTACTTTTTGTCAATACCTTAGGAAACCAAAATGTTCTAAATACTCCACGTAATGATTGTGATGAGGAAAGCTTTCAGAATTTGTAAATGACTTAAAAAGTGTCTGGATTGCTTTAAAGACTGAGGTTTCAAACATTTTTCTTCTTTTCTAGTCTGCTGATTTAGTGCATGAGGAAACACTGACTGGATCATCAGAGCTCGAGGTGTTTAGATCAGGCAGGACTGGGCAGTTCCTCAGCCGGCTCATCAAGTCCAATGATGAGATCACGGTGTATGGTATGACCAGTGGAGATGGTTACATGGCACTGCCCACAGATGTACTGGGCAAAGAGTACTACGTGGCCAGTTACCAAGGTACATGACATTGTACAAACGTTGAAGAATTATGTATCAAAGCTCATTGACTACTTGTCAAATGTCAGACAGTGAATATAGATATCATGCCAACTTACAATATCTAAAACATTATCCATCCCCTAAACTCACCACTTAAACATGTGCTCTGTCTAGCATTGCATTGGAAGTGCTCATTACTAAAACTTTGAAGACACGAGGCACATGTTTTAGAAATGTTTGTTCCAGCATGTAAGAAGAGATCATATTATTATTACTCATTTGCAAAAGTTTGCCGGCAAGCTATTTGATGAAGGAACAAGGGCCAATATAGGAGACTAGTAAGAATGAGATGAATACTTGAATGTGTATCATATATGTGCAGGACAGCCTTTAGTTCTGCTGTATTTAGTTCCATGCCCGTAACCAGGATTTTGAATGGGGGGGTTCTTCCCACTGCTTGAGGGGACCTCGAGCGCCGTAGGCGCGAGATTCCTAGGGGGGGTTCGGGGCATGGTCCCCCGGAAAATTTTGAAAAATGAACCTTCTAAAATGGCATTTCGTGCATTTTTGAGAGGATTTCCAAGAAAAAATCAGAGAAAACTTTTTATTCAATGACAAAGGAAGCAGTTTTTCTATGAATCCAGTCCATCTTTTCATGAAAAATCTTCGACCTTTACATAAAAATTGGACCAAAAAGTAGACCTTTACATAAAAAGTGGACCAAAAAGTGGACCTTTGAGCCTTGTGGGGGGGTTCTTCCGACCCCCCCTGGCTACGGGCATGAGTTCAACAAATCTTTCTCTCATTGTTACTTTCTAACAGGGAACACCGACAGGTCCAGATCTAGAGTTGTGATCATTGGCGTACATGACCGTACCATGGTTAGGATCACCCTGACTGGTGACGTGGATTTTCAGGGTGCACAGGACCACCCTGAATCCCGCAGGTACAGTAGCGGAGAGGATATCCTACTTGAGCTGCACAGGATGGAGACAGTGCAGCTTGTAGCTTCAACATCAGCCACGGATCTCACTGGAACAAGGGTTAGTTTATTAATTTGAACTTACTGTTACATTCTGTTTAAATTGTATCCTCTGCAGTCCTTGTATAGTTTGACATCATTATTTCATAATTTCGAAGCCTGAAAATATATGCATATTAAGCACATAACATATTCTTTACTTCAGGTCCTATTTTTCCAGTTTTTATTATTTTTACTACTTTTCAGCAGAGGAAAAAAAGTTTAAAACACATTAAGTTAGAGAGAAGAAGAAGCTACAGTAGGAATTTAGAATGCTTTCCCACTATATCAGAAAGCATATCAATTGGTACAAGTCTTAGTTTTGTGTTGTTCAGGTTTTAGACCCACCAGGAAAACTTGTAAGGATTAGGCTTCCAATATCTGAAGCGTGACATGTTGTTGTCTTGTTTATTTGTTGACAGATCATCTCTGACCAGCCGATAGCTGTCCTGAGTGGTACCAATGGTGCCGTGGTGGGATCTGGAAATGCAGGATTCCTGGTGGAGTATCTGCCTCCTGTCTACACCTGGGGGAAGACCTTTGTGGTCAAACCTTTGAGTGAGTATTCCTGAGTGAGGGTGGGGGTTGGTGTAAAGGAAAGTGACCTTGATCCAGTTTAAGGTCACTGAAGAGCTAATCTCCCACAAAGAAGACAGACGCTATGTATTTACAGGTTCATTGTACCAGGGAAATTCCCTTTAGCTAGCTCTTTTCCATGCACTAGCAGAATGAACAGTGGATCACATCTTTCCAGTAGTGTGGATGTGTCGGTGAGCTGGGATTCGAACTCTTAACCCATAGGCAAGGCTGCTAACTACTGTACTAACATGTCACTAATGGGGGTGTTGAATGCATGTGGTTCAAGGTTTTTGATCTACACATTTTGTAGTATATTGTATTCAGGATCTATCAAGCAGATTAAGACTCACACTTGCTTTCACAGCTCTAACAGATTATGATTTACAATAGATTATTGTTTATAAAATTTTGATATCATTGTCAGTCAGCAGCCTTGTCAGCCTACTGCATATTGAATTGTAATCTAACTGACATTATTCTACAGATGGGGGTCCTGATAAAGTCAGGGTGATTGCATCCCAACCCACTGACTGGAGCAAAGACAGTGTGCGCATGGGGCAGATCAGTGCCGGATCATTTGTGTCCGTGGATGTCAATGGTGTGACGGTCATTGAAACTGACAAACCAGTCATGGTGGTTCAGTATGTCAGCGGCAGGGTAAGTATCATAGACTGAAGATGATTTTTAAACTTTGTGTATGGCCTGTTTGCAATATACTTCACAGTGATAGCCCCAAAACTGCCTAAAGGATCTTTCTGTTAGTTATGAGCCACAGCATCTGCTCTAGGCCTCTTTCTTTGTGTAAAATGAACAGTTGTTTGATTCAATTAGCCTACATGTCAGAACACCTTAGGCCTTGTTGATTTGGTTATATGGATGACATCCTCTGACAAGTCTGGCAAAAGGAGCCTTCATTATGAAATCTTTGTTGTCATGAATTTTGAACAAATGACTAAACATGGTATAGCAAATTAAAGGCAAATATAGTAAACAATATTTTTTTTGGCAATTTACAGCTTACATTTGCTCATTTTGCTGCAGCTTTGTATGATAATATTCATTTTTATTTTTTGTGGAAGCAGACAAAACTTCATGCACACATGGATGTCATTGATACATTGTATAATCTAATTAACATGTATAAGTTGATATATTTGCTCTATTATTGAATAAAATACATTGTACTAACTCAGTTCTGTTATGATAATCTGAACTAGGGTGGCCTTGCCCCTGCTATGACAGTCATCCCACCAGTGGAGCAGTACACATCAGACTACGGTCTGGCTGCTGCCAACGGCTGGAGCAACAAAGCCACCCTTACTGTCAACACTGCAGAGGAAAGTCGTGTCAAGAAGGACATAACTACAGGTAAATCTTTGTTTTGTTTACTTCATATTCACCACAAAACAAGGCTCATTGGAGCCACTCAAATGGGGTTACTGTACAGACAGTAAGGAAAAGTCTTGAAAAGTCTCTGTCTGCAATCTTGTTTCTATCAATTATACCCCTTTAGAAGTGTTTTCTTCACTACTGAATGTAAAGGGGCATGTAGGGTCTACCCTTTTGTTGTTGTCAGTTGTAAATTGTTCTAATTTGCTCCCATTTTTCAAGCCTGACCATAAAGTTTTATGTGTGTTTTCCCAGCTGTCACTGGCTGGAGCCAACGGTCAGGTTACTCAGCTAAGACTGAGAGCATCAGTCCTGGTGACCTTACTTACCAGCACATTGACCTTCATGGGGCCTTTGGTGTGGTGCAGTATGGGACTGCTGGGGACAAGGCATATAGCTACCCTGGGGGTCAAAGGTAAGAGTGGGCAACACATTCCAGATTTGTGAAAACGTTTCAAAGAGTCAAGTTAAGAAATTCATCCACCTAATTTTTATACGTACATGTATGTCAAAAACTGCACTGAGTTATCTTCTGTCTTTATAATCTTATATTTGTGCACCATTTTCCAACGGCAACTCTAAAACTAAATTGTGCAACATGCAGGCAACAAAGTTAGAAAGATTATGGCCTGCTTTACACATAACTTTTTCAAGTCGACTAGAACTCAAGACAACTTGAACTACAATGTAGTCAACCTGAGTGAAAATTTCCCTGTGTAAATAGAAATAATTCAACTCAAGTCGCATTCTTATCAAGACAACTTGAGTCGTATCCAAACCAGACTTAAGTCAGCTAGCGGGGTGCCGAGTCCGCTAGCTTCGCATGTGTAAACGGGCGAAATAGACTTGAGCGTATCTGCGTAATAGTCAGGCAAGACTGAGCCACCGAGTCAACTTGGGGGGAGGGTGGCACATCGGGAGTGCCAAGTCACTTTGCTGCCCAGTGTGGAAACAGAAATTTTTTGAGCTGACTTCCCCGAGACGACTTAGAAATGGTGAGTGTAAAGCGGGCCTATAATGCAGTGACAAATGTGCAGACACTTAGAGTGTAACATCTAACAGAGTGAGTGACTGTGTTGTTGCAGGTTTGCTCCCATCAACCCCTGTATTGTGTCAGCTGATGACGGCGTCCATGCTGATGGACTGGATAATGACTGTGATGGACTGGTGGATGAGGGTGGGCCCGAGGACCACGCCTACTCCCCATTGGTAGGGGATGTTCCATTTTAAAACTTTAGAAAAAGGGATGGGAGCTACTCTTTTGTATTTGAAATGCTGACTCTCAAGTTTGACATGGGACATGGTTTGTTACAGTGGAAGGTATTCAGTTAAAAAGGGGGCTGTTCTATAAAGTGAATGCTGTTCAGCACCAAGGACAGGGCTGTTTTATCGCGTGGAAGGTGTTCAGCACCAAGGACGGGGCTGTTCCATGGTATGGAATGTGTTCAGCACCAAGGACAGGGTTGTTTCATGGTGTGGAACGTGTTCAGCACCAAGGGAAGAGTTGTTTCATGGCGTGGAAGGTGTTCAGCACCAAGGACGGATGTTTCATAGAGTAGAAGGTGTTCAGCACCAAGGACAGAGTTACTTCATGGTGTGGAAGGTGTTCAGCACCAAGGACAGGGTTGCTCCATAGAGTATAAGATGTTCAGCACCAAGGACAGGGTTATTCCACAGTGTGGAAGGTGTTCAGCACAAAGGACAGGGTTGTTTCATTATGTGGAAGGTGTAATAGCACCAAGGACCGGGCTATTCCATGGTGTGGAAGGTGTTCAGCATCAAGGACAGGACTATTCCATGGTGTGGAAGGTGTTCAGCACCAAGGACAGGGCTATTTCATGGTGTGGAAGGTGTTCAGCACCAAGGACAGGATTGTTCCATAGAGTAAAGATGCTCAGCACCAAGGACAGGGTTATTCCACGGTGTGGAAGGTGTTCAGCACCAAGGACAGGGTTGTTCCATAGAGTAAAAGATGTTTAGCACAAAGGACAGGGTTTTTCCACGGCATGGAAGGTGTTCAGCACCAAGGACAGGGCCGTTCCATCCTGTGTATAGTGACTGGTGAACTAGGTTCAAGAGGTTGTAATATTCAATTGTAATGTTTTCGATCTCAGTGTTGGTTGTCAAGATAGATCAGATCAAAATCAGTTTGAAATCTAACAAAGGTTATTGCTTTTGTGTATTGATTGTATTGATGAAATTCTGTATTGATTATCTTAATCTCTAGGCCCCAGATGTGTATGTGGACCGCCACAGCACAACGGAACTGGACTTCTCCTGGAGAGGTTTCCGCATGCCGCGAGTTGCAAAATTCAAGCGGGAGTTTGGTGAGGCTGGGATGGCACCAACGGTTGTCATCGATGATGTGGAAAGGATCGTAAGAAATATGTTCATTTCTACCTCATTTTCTTTTTAAAAACCATATATATAACTATAATAAGGAAGAATAATTTTTAAGATTCACATTATAGCACTCAAGTTTAAGCCCAAAGATGACATTGGTGCAACTTGGGAGGAAATTATTGTAAAAATTACAGAAAAAACAAAGTGAACCTGTATTTTTTTATGTATGTATGTAGTTCAATTCAATTCAATTTTATTAAGAACAGTCAACATAGCAGGGGTACGTAGTACTCCTGAATTGTGTGGACTTTACATAAGTACAAGAGACGCACAAGGCTATTACATACAAAAGTGGGACATGAAACACTAGAACACTAGTTACATTGTGTACATTACAGCTATACCCCTACTGAATTGATACTTATTTTTTGTTTTTCAGATAAAGTCGGTGGAGTCCAACAACCTTCTGCCTGGGAGGAAGTATCAGTTCAAGGTCATCGCTGTGGATGTGTCAGAAGTCGAGAGTGAAGCTGCCATTGTCGTGTTCCCAACTGGTAAAAACTTGCTTAAAAAAATCTGAGGAAAAAGATTTTTTTTTTGCCCTTTTTTAACAAGAATGTTGATGATTTTTAAAGACCTTTCTCTAAGTTCATGATGTGGAAGAAACTTGCACATAGCATTGCAGATTGTCTTGGTCTCCACTTTTTGCATGTGAATGGCAGATATTGTAATTCTCAAGCTTCTCTCAGCTAAAACTACTAAAAGTAGCCTTTTGACATGAAATCTGAAATGGTTACAGGATTAGGTAGCAGTCAAAATATTGAATTGAATTTGTATGTACTAAGTTATATTTAATTTATTTTTAAAATGTCTTGTATTTATGCACTTATGTGTCAGTGGTAGCCGCTACCAGCCTTGTTGCTGCCTGGTTGCCACTTGTTGTGCACTGTTGCATTTAAACAAACAAACAAACAAACAAACAAACAAACAAAACTCTTGTGAAATCAATAGAACATTGTCCCAACTCAAGGTAGGGGATGGGCCAGGCTAATTTCATTAAAATAATAACACCGGTACGTATCTTATGAGGTAAAATTGTTTTATTTTAGATCCAAAACCACCAAACGACCTCCTTCTCCTGTCAATCACCCACAACTCCATCTCGCTCGACTGGAACCCACCGGTTGTGGGCGGAGTCACCAGTTACGAAGTCACGTACACGAGCGTAGCGGAGGACGGCGGTCAGACGTTCACGACGTCTGTTCCGGGACACCGCACCTCCGCCACCATCTCCGGGCTGCAGCCAATGACGGAGTATCGGTTCACGGTGACAAGCGTGTTCTTCGGGGTGGCAAGCGAAAGGACAAGTCAGGAAGTAGCCGTGACAAGTAAGTAAGAGGTTTGTGAAGCTAAGGGATAACAGGTAGCATGATTATCATGAAAGTTCATCTGTGTTGGTAGTAATAGTAAAACGTTAAACTTTATTCCAACACACTATTTACAGGGATCAAATTTTCAGCGACCACTGTCGTCTTCATCAGGATAATTAATGACCAATCACTTCACAACGTGATCTCGCGAGAGTTACGGTAAAGTAAAGTAATAATAAAGTTTAACGTTTTACTATAGGTAGCATTATTCTATTGCCAGCAATGTTGATTGAATGTTTGATTCCATTTCAAATATTTTGTAAAGTTTACTTTCATATGGGATTGTCATGTGGGATTTTTCAGTTTCTCTGCTTTCCCCCTGCACAATATAAGACATGTGCATCAACATTATACTACTACTCTTGCAGAAATTTAATATGTTGCCTTGCTATCTGTACTTTTGTGTTTACCCCAAACATTTTGTAAAAGTAACCAGAAGCAGAATAACATACATAAAACTTGTATGAAACATGAGATGGATTCTTCACTGTATGTTATTGACTCATTGCAGAACTGGAACCACCGATCAACATGCATGTTGAAGCCGCCTCAACCACCTCCAACTCCATCACTATAAGCCAGGACAAGGTCTCCGGCTCTACACCGCCCCTAACCAAGGCTTTACAGTATGCAACCTACGAGGTTTCCTACGGTAACTACACCAGGGATGCTCTACCAAAGCCTGGGGAGGGAGCAACGCCCTACAGGCCGTTCACCCCTCCAAGTTTTGAAGCCACTGGCCTGGTGGCTGGAGCCAACTACGTGCTGTATGTGAGGTCAAACTTTGGAGGGAACTCCAGTGAGCCAGTCATTCTGCGGGAGTCCACATGTAAGAGTTTCTCTGTAACTTTCAGTATAGTTGAACCTGACAGAGTAGCAGGTAATATTTGGACAGGTTACTCATGTCAGTTCATGCATTTCTGACTGATCATCAAAATTTGTCTTCTCTTCATGTACTTGGTATGGGAGTAAACTTTTTTTCTGATGAAGATTGTACGTTCAAATTTCTTGTCAACAATGAAACCCTTTACATCTTACAAGCAAACTTTCTCTAGGTTAGTTACTCATATTATCTTGCTTTGCTAGGAGGCAAAAAAAGTGATATCTTAAATTATAGAATAATTATTCATCATTAAAAGGTATATTTAACACTAAGTTACTTTGCTCAAAACTCTGATAATATAAGGGATGAAATTACATTTATACTGTATGTCACAGTGTACTGAAAATTAGGTTGGTAGAACATTAGGATATTGAAATAACACCAGGTATTCTTCCTACCTTGCTTACGTTTTGATGTCTATTGTCAGACACCTTCCTCAGAGCTTCTGACTAGTGTAGTCACAATGCATGATGTATTCCAGTCCCAAACCCACCAGCTGACCTTAGGGTAGTGTCCAGTGGCACCACGTACATTGAGCTGGCCTGGGACCGCCCCACGTCCGGCAACCTGGAGGGCTACGTCGTCACCCATGGCATCGTGGGAAGGCCGACGTCCAAACAGTCTGAAATCATCACGGACACCAGGCTGACCCTGAACGGCCTGTCTGTGGAGCATGAGTATGAGATTGCTGTGTCCGTGTACAGCAATGGGAAGGAGAGTCAGGCTGTGACGGTGACACGGCGCCCGTGTGAGTACCACATGAAGTGATTATTGGTTGAGAGTGGGTAACGGGATGTGTAAGGAGGTGTAAGGATGGGTAAGAATGTGTAAGGATGGGTAAGAATGTGTAAAGATGGGCAAGGATGGGTAAGGACGAGTAAGGATGTAAGGATGGGCAAGGATGGGTAAGGATGTGAGAGGGTGGATAGGCACCCTTGTGAGTACCACATGGAATCATCACAGTAACCCAGTAACATTGGTAGCATACAGTAGAAGAAGGGCTAGGCTTATAATCATAGTCTGGATGGTCTATTCATTTTGTTATCATAGAATGAAGCAAGACATTGAAGCATCTTGTACGTATTTAGAAAATGGAATATGTTTTTCAGCTACATTTCATTAGTAACTCTATTCCATTCTATTCCATATTATGCACATGTTTGTACATGTAGCTTAAAGTTTGCATTCATACACTAGCACTGTCAGTTATTCTGTCAACATTAGAGATAGAATCTAGTCATATTGTTATCCCAAAAAGTTTTTGCATAGTTATTACATACATGTATCTGATTAGAACAGCTGTTTCCATTGACACCTGATACAGCTGTTGTGCACGTGTGGAGCACCTGGTCGGCCTACAGTCCGTGCAGTCAGAGCTGTGGAGACGGGGTGAGGACCCGCACCAGGCTGTGCCATCATGTGGACGGCTCCCCCAGCATCGAGTGTGACGGGGCCGCTGGGAGGGCTCTGCAGACGAAGCAGATAGCCTGCGACTTAGACCACTGTCCAGGTCAGTAGATACCGTGGAACTACTTGTACAACAGAGTCAAGTATCTGTTAATTGTTAAACATATCCTCACTCACTCACTCACTGTCCGGTTTATTGTCTGTTGTTCCCCGTCTTCCGAGGGTTAGACGTGCTTGCACAATACATCTGGAGCTTGATGGCAGCACGCCAGCACGCCACCATCCTCATTTTACATTTAGTATTGTGCTCTCCAAGCAGAGGTTTAGGTTTTGGCTCATATTTTGTGTGTCATATTCAGGCTTTCTTTTTTTGCACTGGTATCTTTTTTTATACAACCTGGCAAAATTTTGGGAGATTGATAGGTCGACCTATGCAACAAGGTTGCGGGAGGATCTAAGGTCTAAGGTAAAATAGTTTTGCTAAGAAAAAAGATACAAATACTACACTGGCCATTTGATTTTTTGATAAAAATTTACTGCTTCCTTGGAAATGATCTATATGCTGTTACAGTTATGATTTTTATAATCATGACACAATGAGATATTTTTATTTAATCAATTAATGGCAGAATTTGATACTGGGTATACTCTTTTAAGAATGTATAACTGCTCTGTTTGCTGTGAAAGTGTTATGGTTATACAATGTACATGTAGTATTATAATTTTGGTTATCATGACAGGAGATATTAAGCAGAATTATGATAGATATAAAAGTTGAGCATAAGATGAGCTATGTTTGTTCTGATTGCCAGTCCATGGAGGTTGGAGCAGCTGGGAGGGGTGGGGAGCCTGCAGCCAGTCCTGCGGAGCTGCGGTGCAGCAGCGTGTCCGCAGCTGTTCCCACCCTGTCCCGGTGTTCGGTGGAAAACGCTGCCCTGGTAGTCACCTCCAGGAGAGACAGTGTCATCAGGACCCATGTGCAGGTGTGATGTCCTTGTACAAAGAAATGGTATCTTGTAGCAAGGAAATTATCCTTTGAACAAGAAATTAAAGAATCGCCGTAGCAAGAAAATTCAAGAAACACAATGTGTTTTCTTGCTGTAGCAAGTAAATGATTCTCTCCACAAGAAAATATGAATTTTCTTGAACTAAGAGCTAAGTTCTTGAAGCAAGAAAACCATTCCATACACAAGAAAAGATTACTGTAAACTTATCTTAAAATTCTAAAAATTCTTAAGATTCGTGTTTGTGAGCATGATAGTAGAAATATTTTCTTTTCTTAAAAAAAAAAGAAGAATAAAATTCTTGTTGTAAGAATCAACATAGTTTTTACAAAATCTTTGAAGACTGTACTAAGTTTCTCATAATGACCTGCATGCAATACTTATACTTTTTTTTCTTCTTTCTGTATTGCTGTAGCTGACGGAGAGTGGTCAGACTGGGGGGAGTACTCGGAGTGCACCCTGACATGTGGGCGCGGCACACAGCAGCGAACACGGACCTGTCTCGGGCAGGCGGGAACGGGCGCAGCCTGCGAGGGACCGGCCACCGAGACTCGGCGCTGTAACGAGATGCCTTGTCCAGGTCTGATCATTGATTCATGCTTTATTATTTCACTCCATACTTTAGTATGGAGGGAAATACTGTTTTTACTGATGATTCTCCTTCTCCTGCCATTTCTTTAAATTGATTCAATTCCTTCATATTTGGGCCAAACGACCTGGAATTTCGTATAAAGGTAGAGTGGGTAAATACCCCTAGGCGTTTTTTTATTTTTTTTGATACAAGCTTTTACAATCGTTTTATTTGCGTTTTTAGCTGTTCCCATAGGAAAGTACTGTGGGGCGTACGCGCGTGACGTAATAAGAAAGGAATTCGGGGGCGGGCCCAAATATGGGCATATGCAAGCAT